GGAGTGGGGGGGGGGGGGGGGGAGTAGGGCCGACACCATGTGCTTGACACTGGTCACTGTGTGGTTGAGAATTGTGATTTTTATCAAAGATGATGCCAAGTAAGTTCTTGTGCGTTTTTTTTTATTTCACTGGTTCGAACAACCAATCTACTGTAGGATAAACAATCCAGAATAAATCAGAGCAGTTTTCACTCAAAATACGATTCCCATACCAGGGCACAAGATTAGCTTTAAAGGCCCACTGCACTACTTGTAGCTACTTGCGCCCTCTATATAACAAACAATGCCTAATCGGTGACCATTGGTCCCCCATAATCCTCTTTTTCTTATGTTAACTGAGAGCTGAGTTGATGAGATAACCACCTGTCCAGTGACCTTGCAGGGCAGTCTAATCCCTCCTGTAAACTACGGCAGATAAGCTTTAAAGGCACACTGTCCTACTTGTAGCTACTTGCTCCCTCTATAATTATAGAAAACTTCCCAAATCGGTGCCTGTTGCATGGTCCCCCATGATCCTCTTTTTCTTATGTTAAATGAGAGCTGAGTTAATGAGATAGCCACCTGTCACAGTGACCTCGCTGGCTCGCTTGGTGGTCTTATCCCTTCTGGCTGAAGTAGTAAAGCCTGCCTTTAACTTACACAAAGTGCAATAAATAATATATGTACAGTGTAGTTGCAAGAATGTGACAGGTGTATGTTAGTTTAAAATTATCTTATCTAGAAAATCATTTGCATTAGTTGATTTAGACCATTTAGGGGCAATTTTTACAAAGTCAATTCTACATTAAGATGCAGTTATTGTGTAAAATGTCTTAATGTTGTGATCTGTCAAAAACTGTATATTGATTATCTAACTAATGTATAGGTACTAGCACGGAACCTTCGATTCGCAATGCTCTCGGCTCTTTTATTATGTGCTTGTATACAAATATTGCATGCTCCGGCGTTCAGTGTAACAAAATATCTGAACCGAGAAAATTCAGAATTTCCCCGAGTTAAGTAATGTTTTACCGAGGCTGCAAGTGAAGTACAATGGGGTGAGGTCAATTAGGAATTTGGAGGAGAATATCGAGGGGTCAGTGACAAAAAGACGTAACTACATTTGGGTCATTTTGGCCATTTTTGAGAAAAAGTGGTATATGTGTCACTGAGCACTTGGGCCTTAAGCTTATGTTTTACTAGCCATTGACTTCAATGGGGTGTTGGATGGAGTTAAAGATGAAGTTGAGTTCTGGTCATGCGATTGCATTGTGAAAGAAACGGTGTGAAATCGACCAGAAAAGGTGGATCATCTAGCATATCAGAATTTGTGTGTATTGTAAGGTTCTGGAATCATCAAAATGATAAGAAATATGGCCAAGTCTTGGTAAAGTTACAAACACTGTACACATAAAGATGTATATGGGACTACACGTACACGTGGCGTAAAAAACCTACCCCCCCCCCCCCCGAGTTTTACGAGTTACATGACATATTTAGAATATAAAGGCATTTGAAGAGCCATGCTTTTCAGGGAACATGTCTTATCTGATGTTCTTTCACACTTGCATAATAAGAATGATAACGCTCACAAATTATTTTTCACCTCTTCCCAGAACTCAACCTTCTCTTTAAGTCTTTGAGTTTCCTGTAAAGGGAGCCCACATTTTTCTGAACATTTTTATATCAAATACTCATTTTGGCAAAATATGGAGTTACGTCCTTGTGTCACTGAACCCTCGATATACATGCATGTTTTATTGAACAGAGAAAGGCTATATTTGTTACATAATATGAAGGGCATTTGCTATCCTTTGGGGTCGGGCCTTCTAGATAAAATTCAGGTTGCCTTCTCGTCAGATGCACACATCTTCTTCCCCTCTCTCACTCATGCTGCATATCATCTTCATCTCTTCCTTTCTCTCATCTCTCTCTTGTTGTCCTTTCTCTCTCTTCCTTTCTCTCTCTCTCTCTCTCTCTTTCTCTTTGTCCTTTCTCTCTTTGTCCTTTCTCTCTCTTTCTCTCCCCCTCTTTCTCTCACTTTCTCTCTTCCTTTCTCTCTCTCTCTTTCTCTTTGTCCTTTCTCTCTTTATCCTTTCTCTCTCTTTCTCTCCCCCTCTTTCTCTCACTTTCTCTCACTCTCCCTTTCTTTCTCTCTCTCTTATCTAGTTTAATAAACAATGTGATTAGGCTCCCTATCTATAATGGTCAAGATAAATAAGGTTAATAATAATACACACTGTTTTTACCAACTGTAAAAATAGATGTTTATTTCTTATATTTTTTATTTTAATAGTTTCATATTCCATTCAAAACAATATGCTTTCCAAGTTTTCATTACACATGTAGTCACTTTGGCCTTTGATTTGTTTAGTAACTATATAATGTATAGATCTGTAAATAGATAAAAACTTCACATTATATCATTTTGTTCAGCTAACTTAATAAGTAAAATTTTCAGATCTGATCTGAACAAGAGTTTAAGGCACATCCAAAGTAAAATGCTCAGTAAAATACTTACTTAAACCCACAGACAGAACTGAATACGGCCTAAGGTGCTCTGAAGTCTGAACATTACTTGCCATTAAATGTGTAAGACCATTCAAATTCATTTTTATCGTAGCTTTAGCAGGGCTATTAACTCAATACAATGTTGAAATGTACTGCAATCGTCAATGTACTGTAGATTGCTAACATAGCTAACATATGGGACACAATAATTTGGACTTTTCAATATAGAAGATTTTAAAGGGGAAAAAAGGCAAGTGACAACATGATACCTTCTAATGCAAGTCTTTGAATATCTGGCCCTCGAAGTACCATAGGGCCCATAGGATAACCTAACTACCTGTAATGTCTGTGCTCGATACAAAACATGCAGATCTGCCAACCTCTGGAGTTCAAAAACTGTATTCTTTAATCCCAAAAGTTGTAGTTTACTGCCAAAAGTTGTATTCTTTAAAAAAAAACACGGGACTGTTACGTGTGAATCATTGCCTCTTACAGTTTGTACATACAGGAAGAATGTTTTTTATGGATCATTGATTGAATATGCATGATTTCATCACAACTGGTGTGTTCAATGAACCAATGAACATCTCTAAATTGCCGATGTGAGATACTTGTAGAATACTTTTTTTCTCCTTTTTTTAGGTGAAAATCATATTTTATTGAGGAAAATCGTACTGTCGTATTTGCTTCTAAAAATCTTACGAAATAGGACTAAACCGTACTGGTTGGCAGGTCTGAACAAGGCATGTATACATTGAAAATGGACACATTGTTGGGCATATTTTAGCACATAAACTATGTGTTTTGTTGATTATTAAGGCTCGTTCAGATATGACACATCAAAACCATGGCATGTTTTGGCGTTCTGTTCATGATGATGTATTAACTACGCTTCACAAGTCTGTATCTTATAACACAGAGCTCAGTGAGTACGCACAAGTCCTTGGTTGCACACAGTTGCCATTGTTTTACACATTAAAAATAAAACGAGGCGGCTTTTTTGCAGTGGTTTAACATGCCATATCTGAACAAGCCTTTATCAAGCACAGTTGATGTATGTACATATTAGCTAGAAATTCTTATTATGATGCACTGGAGGTAGAAATTAATCTTTACAAATGATGGCCAGTGATATGTACGATGAAAAGCATCTCTCCTGTGAATATGGTGATTCTACATGCATTTCATGATGTTTTAATGATGTATATACATATATCAATCCAAGTGTCTTGCATGAGTGTTCTGTACATTTTGAGATTATGAATGATATTATATTGTAACATAAATATTACGATCAATTCAAATGTTGGTAATTTCTGTGAATTCTTCACTGTTCCACACAAATAAAGAAAAGTTTCTAACACAAGTCACTATACTTTGAACTTTGTTTTCTTGTTGATCGATTGTAATCTTTAAGCTACAGTGTGCCATCAAATTTCAAATATAAAGCTTTGTATGAGGCAAAACTTTGTGAGATAAGCAAAACTTATTATTGTGTTCAATGAAATACAAACTTTGTTTTTCAATAAGCTGTTTGAATCTTTATCAAAATTTATAAAAATAACAATACTAAGAACAAGTATAAATATTAATATTATTAATAATATTCCACATTTTTATAGCGTTTAATACATCAACAATGTCTATGAGTGCTTTATAGATATATCATTACCCCCGTCATCGATTCAGGCATGCCTGCACACAATGTATACACATTCTCCACTCCCTGGGGAGCATTTCAGCCAGGTGCAATTTTACAGACGTTGACAATACTGAGCAAACTACATTAGAAGCCCCCCCCCCCCCCCCCCCCCCCCTGGGTTATGCAGTTTCAAAATAGCCCGGGCTATAGGGTTAAACACCATTCATCATACATGATAAGCCAAGGTAAAATAATGCATTTCTGTTTTGGTAATGACGTAAGTGTAAATGCTTCATATATCTGTATCTTATAGCACAGAGCTCGTGAATACGAGTAGGAACTTTGATGCTTGTAATTGCCATTCACTCTCGCCTCATCATATCAGGACAAGATTTTAAGATGCCTACAAAGTACTTCTATTAACTTCAATCATTCTATCCCCAGTCGCTGAAGTGCTTAAAATCAGACCCCACTTGCTACAAATGGCTTGAGGGCAGCAGATATAATTTTAACCACAACCCTGAAACCTGCATTTTATAGCCTCGTCCAAATATCATATGAGGCACCCAAACCGTGATGTTTGAACGAGGCTTGAAGGTTCATCTACTGCAATAATAATAATAATAGTAGCTAGTTCTTATATAGCGCTTTTCGAAGGCCCTCTCAAAGCGCTTTACAGATATAAATATTATTACCCTGGTCATCAGATTCAGGCTTACCCGCACACAATGTTGGCACATTCTCCACTCCCTGGGGAGCATTCCAGCCAGGCGTCTTTTTTTACAAGCACTTGCTAATCTGAGCACATTAGCTTTCGCATCCTACTGGGTACCCATTTAACACCTGGGTGGAGAGTGGCAAACGCAGTGGGACTTGAACCGCAGACCTTGTGATCCTAAGTCCGGTGACATATCCACTCGTTCACGACACCTCTATGAATATGAGCACCTTGTGAGATAAAGGGACTACAAGCAATTAGACTCATTCCCAACCTTGAGTAAGAGATGAGGTACAGCGTACACAGAGTCTGTTAGCTTCCAAGGCAGTGTGCTTCCTGCATCGATTGCAACGAAAATGGGTAGCAGGCTGGATGAAGAGACTACACGTCATTAGACTCATTCCCAGCCTTGAGTAAGAGATGAGGTACAGCGTACACAGAGTCTGTTAGCTTCCATGGCAGTGTGCTTCCTGCATCGATTGCAACGAAAATGGGTAGCAGGCTGGATGACGAGACTACACGTCATTAGCTTGGTCAGATCATCTGTATAATAATAAAATCAATAATAACATATAAGACTTGTCAGGTGCCAAATCCATTTGACATCAAAATACTCATATCATCTGTATAATAATAAAATCAATAATAACATATGAGACTTGTCAGGTGCCAAATCCATTTGAAATCAATTTTTCAAGACACACTAGTGGTAAAAAAAGAATCACATAAAACACTTGCACACAACAACAGCAAAGAGAAAGAGAACAATTATCGATAGGCCAGATCAAACAGATGTTTTCTGATTGTAATTGAACACTTCACCTGATTTGCTATTTCTAATGTAATAAATAAGGTGAGAAGAAAAAATTTAATGCCTTTTGGGCTGGAATTTATTATTACATTTGATCTAGATCTCAAACAAGAGGAAGTGGAATGCAATTGATTCTGTAGTTGAGACTTTTATAAATCTGAAGATTTAACAGGAAAATCTTCTCAGGCCCATGGGATATAATAATAACAATAACTTTTTTTACCCAGGGAAGCCTCATCAGCACCAATGCTGTTCTTCCTGATGGCCCTGCAATTATTACCCCATGAATTGCAAGCTTTCCATTTACAAGAAGAGTGGCAAACGTGGATAATGTTTTGCCAAAGTGCCAGAGTGGGATTTGAACCTTTGATACTTGGATTGAGAGTCAAGTGAATGAACCCCTCCTTTCTTCAAATCCTTCTGTTCATCAAATCCTCCCATCTCCTGCCATAATTTCTAACATGAAACATTTCAAAAGAACACAAATTGTACAAGTTGGATGTTTATACCTGGTATAGGAAGCTGTGTAGATACCACCTTACATCCATCTGGAATATCTATTGGAGGGTTTCCCATGGCAATAGTTGTGAAGGATGACATCAGAAACTCAGACAGATCTGATTCGCAGCTGGTCTCTTCTTCTTGAAGTAACTGTTGATATGTAGGAGAAAAAATAATGTTAACTCTTATAAATGTAATGCTTCCTGGGAGAAATTTCAATTATTTAAACATATTTGTGGCTTACACCCTGTTAATAAGATCGATTGATCTGTGTTGAAGTCAACAAGTCAGAAAAAAATCTTGGAACCAGCAGGACTTGAACCTGCATCTACTGCTTGCCGGGCAGCAACTCTACCACCAGGACATTACTGGTCCATGGCACAGTCATGATGAACTAGAAACAAATACCCAAGCTCTCCTGATTCATTCTGACTTATTAATATTCATTAGTCCGCCATAGGACAATAATAACTTTTATAAATGTAATGCTTCCTGGGAGAAATTTCAATTATTTAAACATATTTGTGGCTTTCACCCTGTTAATAAGATCGATTGATTGATCTCTATTTAAAAAAAATATTGTAGAGACATCAAAAAAGCTATCAAAAGGACAATACAGCGGAATCTACACTTGAATCTCTGACAATTTTATGTCTACTCTTGAACACAAACGCTGTCAATGTTTACTGCCGTGATTATATTATATAATCTTACGCCTGAAAGCTATTATTTTGTTGAGGAAATCAATATTACAGAACAGGTATGTTGAGTAAGGGGTAAAGTAATGGTCTTGTAACTGGGAGGTTCTGCATTCAAAGTCAAGTCAATGATCTACCGGTAGTGCCTTTGAAAAGGTCACCATCAAATTACAAGGTCCCTTTATAAAGAGAACTGTTAATTATAATAATAATACAGTATTTATAAAGCGCATAATAAACTAAAGTTTCTCTATATGCTGTACAAGCATGAATGACGAGAAATATAATCACATTAAAGGAATCAACAAAGAGAAATATACAAGTCTTATAACTACTAAACTGACTAACTTGACATACCTCATCAGTAAATCAATTCGCTTTTCTCAGTCAACATTAGAATAATAATCCTAAATTTTAACATTAAACAAAAACAAAAAAACAATTGAATAGAAACTGGATTATAATAATAACCTAGGCTTCTATAGCGCGTTTCATCTTCAAAGAAAATAACAATGCGCTTTACAATATTAATACAACAAAATTACACATAACTACTAATTCATTAACTAAAGAAATTTCAAAATAAGGACAAGATTAATAATAATCAATCATTATAAACATCAATTACAGAGAAATGAAGGCAAATTATGTAAAAGTACAGTAATGTAATTAAATTTTGATGAGTACAATAATACAGTTTAAATGACATTAGTAAACGTTTTTAAACAAGTAGATTTTCAGTTGAAAAAACAATAATCATAAAATAAATCATAAATAATCATAAAATAAGAGTGGGCTACAGCAAGGAATCACATTTAGAGAATTTCTGTCATGTCATAACTGATGTGAAACAAGGAATGATATTCAGGGATCTTTTACCTGGAGAAGATGTAGCACTTGGGCATCCTGTGTGTAGATAGAGACATCATACTCTCTGCTCTTGGGAGCCTGGATGGCACTGTGGTATGTCTCTCGTAGGACTGTGAGGGCGTCCCATTGGTTCGCTAGATGAGGTTGATACCACTCAGGGTCAGGGGTCATCCAGCCAGATTTGAACACACTTCCTGCTCCTAAAGTATAAATCAAAACAGAGGTGTTGTGGACTAGTGGAAACATCAACGGACTGAGGATCTTAAAGGTATTACAAAGTTTTGGTATGGGCTCATGAATTTGGTGCAAATAAACATATTGGAAGCATATGCGATTTTACAATATTCTGTGATAGTTGTCGCGGTTAAAATCGAGTTTAAAGTGATGAAATTGTAAATAATAAATTCTTCATGATGTATAGCTCCCTCTCAAGGTCAAGATATTATTTGAGCTATAAAACAATGCTTCTTGACTAAAATTGACCAATTGGCTATTCCCGTTTGGAAATTATATACCACAACTGCATATTCTGAGATTTTCATGGTCGCAGCTACCATTATATGGCTGTAGTTGCTATTTGAAATTTATCCAAAATTACAGGGAGAACCGGTAAATTTTAATATTCAATTTTTCTCGAAAGCAGAAGTGTTTTGGGGGCTAAATTTCCGAGTGCTTATAATACATCCACAGGGGCATCCAAATAAATCGAAATTGTATAGAATCACTATCCAGCCAATTTTTAAAAATTTCCCAAAACTTTGTAATAATAATGTGTGTGTGTGTGTGTATTGGGTTTTTACAGACGTGTATCAATCAGATATGATTATTTACGTCTGGGACCGACCGTTAAACGTCACCATCCAAAAGACGTGACTCAGTTTCGAACCTGCGTCCTCGGCTGAATCAGTTTGTAACTTCCACTTTTTAGCTGGATTACAGGCGCACGCCACAACGCCTAGTTGTAATAATAATAATAATACATGAGATTTATATAGCGCCATTATCCATTTTAATTAAATGCTCAAGGTGCTTTAAACTCCACAAATATTAATATACTAGGAAGATATTTCCCCCTCTGACTTTAGGTACATGTACCTTCTTGTTGTTTGGAGTAATGAAGATGTACTTCTTCTGCTAGATGTGGTACGATGGGAGCTAACGACCTTGAGATGACCTCCAGCATATGATGGAGTACTGTCTGACATGAACGTCTCTTCTCACTATCTCCTCTCTCACAGTATAACCTGAAAGATACATAATAAAGGTCAGACTCCTTGGGTGGTATTCTCGAAAGAGGACTAACTTTAGTCCATGGTTTAATCCAGCGACTAAGTAAGGAATGCCAACATATGAATATGTTTTTGAATAATTTAATCTGTCACTAAATTAAAACAAAATGTAATAACATAATTAATAAACAGCAATACAACTATATGCATGATATACTTATGTTATCATGGTAATTTAGGGACATATCAAATTATTCAAAAACTATATTCATATGGACACTTGGCATTCCATACTTATTCGGTGGATTAAACCATGGACTAAAGTTAGTCCGCTTTCAAGAATACCACCCCTTGAGAACATCTCATGTATCTCGCATACACTCTGGAAATTGTGGGTATGAATATAGCATCTTATGCTGTACATGTAATTTAGCCCCATAAGGGATACTCCATTTCTAAACTTTTATTCCCCTTTACAAATTATTATGTTCTATACATGTTGATCGTAACATATGTTTTAGTTAATTGGTCAGTTTTGCTACTGTCATTTAATTTTAGTATTAATATTTAGTATTTAAAATGTTACATACAATATTATAGTTAATTTTATAGGCAACTGCGTGCAACAAAAGTCCCGACCATATTTACTTAGCTCTGATTCATAAGGTAGGAAATATGAAGCATACTACAGTCATCATGAAGGAGAAAAAAAACGCTGCAGTATACCACTGCATATTTGAACAAGGTTTAAGAGTCATTGTGATTAACCAGGCGTTGTGGCGTGCGCCTGTAATCCAGCTAAAAGTGGAAGTTATAAACTGATTCAGCCAAGAACGCAGGTTCAAAACTCACGTCTTTCGGATGGTGACATTTAAAGGTCGGTCCCCAGAAGTAAATAATCATATCTGATTGATACACGTCTGTAAAAACCCATTGTAATTCTGTGGAGCACTCACCTATCCTTCACTGTCTCTAGATAAAAAGACGAAATCTTGTTATGAACCAGATCCATAGCGCTTCTTGTCACTTCACTGAATTCATAATCCTCATACGCTCTCGTCACGTGATCACTGTATTCATGAAGCAGATGAAGCATGTATCGATCCAACGGTGTCGTCTCAACTGCACCCTCGCTTGGCTTGAAGTCGGACAGGTTTCCTAGGAAGTAGCGGAATGTATTGCGTAGCTTTATGATGTTCTGATTGGTCATTGCAAAGAGGTCAGGTCCGACGTTGATACGACCCATCCAATCAGAGTCAGCCATTCGCCATCTTAGAACGTCTGCTCCGTAAGCTGGCTCCTTCTTTTTGTTCTGTCAAATCAAAATCAGAGCATTGAAGTATTACTGCAGAATCCTTATCACATTTAATATTGAAGTACTAAATCATATAATTTACACAGTAAACTCTCTTCCTTTTTTTTCCTTTTTACTTTATTCTTTTTCTTTCTTTCTTTCTCTCTCTCTTTCTCTCTCTTCCTCTCTCTCTCTCTCTCTCTCTCTCCTTTCCTTCCCTATATCTCTCTTAACACTTTGTAAGTCTAACCCCCCCCCCTTCCTTTGCTTTTCCATGTTCTGTTTCCCTTCTCACTGTAATCATAGCAAAATATTTAATACATTATACAATACAGGGTAAGGAGACTACATGGACAAGGAGAAACAGCAAATATACAAAGACGGGAGAGAGAAAGAAAGAAAGGGAAAGGGAGGGTAAGATTGACAAAACATTAAAGAGACTTAGGGAGAAGGGAGGGAGAGGGAAAGACAGAGAGAGAGAGAGAGAGAAAGAGAGGAGAAAAGGAAGAAAAAGACAGAAGAAGAAATAACTGGAGAAAGAAACTAAATTATGCAGTTTTTCTACTCTGTATGAGTATGATATTAAATTTTGTCTGAATAAATTCAAATCACATCAAATGAAGGGAGGAAGGGGGAAACATGTATTGTATAGACTAACCTTCCCACCGCCCACAATGACATCAGGGTTAACAACGTTCCCGAGGGATTTTGACATCTTACGTCCTTCTGCATCTAATGCAAACCCGTGTACCAAAACAGACCTTGATGAAATAAAGATGGGTGTATAAAGAATCAGCTGTTCATAAGAGTTAGGCAATGTACTACTGATCGCTACATGGATCATAAGAGTTAGGCAATGCACTACTGATCGCTACATGGATCATAAGAGTTAAGCAATGCACTACTGATCGCTACATGGATCATAAGAGTTAGGCAATGTACTACTGATCGCTACATGGATCATAAGAGTTAGGCAATGTACTACTGATCGCTACATGGATCATAAGAGTTAGGCAATGTACTACTGATCGCTACATGGATCATAAGAGTTAGGCAATGTACTACTGATCGCTACATGGATCATAAGAGTTAGGCAATGTACTACTGATCGCTACATGGATCATAAGAGTTAGGCAATGTACTACTGATCGCTACATATATATTCATATATATATTGATGAATAGCAACATGTTTTGACAGGGTTTCAGGTTCAAGGTCAAATGGAGCTATTAAAGCAATCATGCACATTCAAAGTGCCATTCTGAAACAAGAAACTGCTGCAAAATTAGAGAAATTCAACATTCTTTTTCAATCCCACGTGGAATTTTTGCCAATCTTGCCAATTCTTAAAATTCAAGTTTCAAGTTTTTTAGTCTTTAATGAACATTACTTTTATAGGCTTTCTGTAAGAGACCCATCGGTATAGTACATATAGAGTCTTTTAAGACTGAAACCATTTCTCACCTATAAGGAGCAGTGCCTTGTGCAGCTACGCTGGTGAGTAAACTGGTCTGGAACCATGCTCCATATTGATCCTCACCCTCTATATAAACATCAGCCTGATGGCCTGCATCTATATTACACAAAAATAACAAAGCAAAACTAGCTTTCTGAGAAGGACTATGTGGATGGAGGTCTAAAAAAAGGTTACATCTCAGTTCAGTTCAGTTCAGTTTTTTAATTTTTCTCAAGCATAAAACAATATTATAATATATACAAAAATGGCAAATATACATAGTAAGAGAAAAAACGGAATCTACGATAAAAGTTTATAAAAACTTTTGTATAAACAATTGCAATAACAAAATACAAAATTATGCAGATTAATCAGTAACACACTACACCAACAAACACCAACAAACACCGGCAATCTACATCTACACCCAATCATTACTGGCTTAAAGGGGAACTCCATCCTGTTTGGAAATGCCTTTAGATACAAAGTTTGGTTCCATCTGTTGGAAATTCTTTTTTGGATAGTAATATTCATGGGACGACGCCAGTATACTAACAAGGCGAACAGCATGCATTTTCTCCCCTGCATCTCGTGATGCGAGACTGAGAGCGAATTACACCTATCAAAATTATGCCATTTGATGCTTTCATCATTTCAGGATGTGAATTTTGGTTCTAGCAGTTTACACTATAAAGCACTAATGGTAATGTTGCATAGACTTTACCCTGAAAAATGAGAGAACATTCAGATGCTCAGACTTATGGTCTTCGCACGCGTTTTGAAGGCAAGGGCCACCCATAGCGAGGAGTATAGCGGAGACCTCCAGGCGGTCGGCCTGTACGTAGTCTAGCAATTACTACCTTTTTTCTTTTTTCCCAGTCTGGCCCTGATGCATGACAAAAATGGTTGCCATGCGTGACAGCGTTTTCAGACCCTCGATGCGAGACTGTCACGCATAATGCGTGACACTTGGTAGCTCTGCTCTTATTCAAGTGGGGAAACCAATGTTCAAATTGTCTTAGAAAAAGGATTTATTTGCATTTAGTGACACATTCTTACCTTTTAAAACATGAGACCATGAAGTACCACTATCAAACCAAATATCCAAGATGTCTTCACCCAGCACTACGTCATCTAGACAGAGATCAAACTGGAGAAAAAGAAACACAAAACCACAGCAGAGTGAATTAAAGAAAGACTGTACAAAATTCTTCACTTAAAGGCATCGTTTAACAATGTTGTAAATCCGAGATGCATGGCCTTATGTATTATCAGTGTCTGTGATATGGTGTCATATTGAAGCCCTAAAAAAATTGCACTTCAAAATAATCATGAAGTGCCTCAACAAAGCCCCAATAGTCTGTAGTATTATAAAAACCATTAGGAAAAAGCAAAATTTTATTTTGATTTCCAATCATAAAAATCTTGATAATCAGACAGGCTTGTAAAAGTCATGGGATTCCTGACTGACCTAAAGCTTTATAATTACTGTATGAGCTGAATCCAGGATTTTGTTTCAGAATCATAAGGCGCATTTATACTGTCAAATACCTCATTTTGAAAAGTCGCGATGTTTCGTGCACCCGGTTACACTTGTGCTGAAACATCACCGACGGAGCTGTTCAGCGATGTTTTGGCGTGTTTCGGTTGGTAATGCGCATGTGCAGTCTTCCCGACCTTTGACCCCGGCCTGCTATAAGATTTTTAGCGCGCGCAATTTCCAGCTAGCGCTATAGCTAGCTAAATAGCGATACATCCCATGCGCATGCATGCGATATGTTTTGTTTATCTCGCGTGTAGTATTCGAGGCAAGAGTGGATAAGTTACGAAGTACGGACTACGGCTGCTGATTCAGTTTTCCCAAATTCAATCGAAATCTAGTAGTAAAAACGATATGGGAAGGTTAAGAAAATCATCGTTGTTAATTGTTAATTTCATGCTTTCACTCATTTCTCTGAAGCCCTTTTCCCCACGTTTGCAGGGACGCTTGGAAGTCTGGTGGAGGAGCTCTCCCTGCCTCCACATCGAAATCAAGAACTTCATCTCATCATCAGTCCAATGGGAATTGTTCACTTCCATATTAATTAATCTAACAAAACACTCAAATACTACTACTAGACAGATATGGCCAGACGGGAATAACGAAGATTGAATAAAGGATGAGTTAACGGAATTGGAACAAACGGAGCTGAATGAACGGATAACACGCGCGACGATGGAAATGCTATAAATATCACACGGGAAGAACGTGGTTTAAAAGAGCGCGGGTAACAATCCGGAAGTGCCGGAAGTCACGTGCCTAACATCGCGATGTTACAACTGCGAGCGGTTATACTTGCCAAACACGCCAAAACACGCCAAAACACGCCAAAAGATCACACTTCGTTTTGGAATGTTTGGGGCTTGGCATGTCTGCCGGTAAAGCGTAGTTGCCCTTGGTAACATCGCGGCCAGGCTCCGGTTTGGCATTTTTTGGCGTGTTTGGATGACAGTGTAACTGCCCCTTGAGGCAAAGATACTGAGTCACTTTAAAGTCACATAGAAGTCAGCTCTCATGGGGAATTCGACACCGTTCGGGTGTTTACCTAATAACAGGTGTTGTCAATCACCAGGGTTAGCCTTGAGTTTTATGACCATTAGTCCTTATGTAATGCTCTGCTTTCCTTCACCCGAGAAATCTCCGAGCATGCTCCGAGAGACTAGGGGGTAATTCTTGACTGGCCAACGGGTTTGCTGTGTGCAGATTTGTACTCCCATTAATGGTATTTCCACCAAGTCTGGTGTCAGCGAATTACGACCTTCTGCACATGGAAACTGACTACCCATTCCCTTTAAAGCAAGGTCATCAACATTATCAACTACCTTGCATAAAGTTTGACTAATATTAATATACTTTGACTGAATGAGGAGATAAAATGTACAGTACATGTGTATATTAAACTTGCCTATAACCCAGGGTTGGCAATTTCAAAAGGAAATACCTGGAACTGCCTATTACCCAGGATTGACAATCAGATGAATGAACCACTACACCACAACACCTGCACCTCCACATGTGATTATTTATGTAGTGTTGTGAGTTTAACCACTTGTCTGCTATTGGCTTACAACGCGTTCATACCCCCTGTGCAACAGCATTTTTGTACTGTACAAAAAACGATACAAAAACTGTACGCTGTACACAAAAAGGACGGATTTTTGTTGAAAGAGCGCAATCTACTGTTCAAGACCTGTATAACATCATTGCAGTGCTAATTACACAGTTAGGGCTAGGCATCATGCAGTGCTATGGTCTTGAAAGTTAAATGCCCTAAGCACGTACATGTACGTGGTACGCAGTCAAGTGGTCAAATCGAAAGATCAGTAAAAGAATGAAAATAAATAGCATACCTGATTTAAAATATTCTGAGGAACTATTTGATCTTTGCTCAGCTTCCACCAGCAATCACTCCCATGATGCATCACTAGATCAGTCACATGATCTACAAGTTCCCTAGGTAACAACAAACAAAATAGACACATCAGTGACAAAAATCCATGGGGACCGTGAGCAATTTACATAAATTCAATTCAATTAAATTCAGATTTTATTGGTCCAAAAGGAAATTTGTTGCTTTTACATGCATTATTCACAGAGAAAAAATAAATGAGATATACATGTGACATGATACATACAACATAAAACGAGTATAGAGAAATATACCACTTTAACAACATCATTATATCTATTTTCTCTGAAAAGCTACATAAGAGCTCTGGTAAATAGGCCATTTTCATAATGTAATCAAATTTAATGCTCAAATCTTTGAGTGCCTCATTACAATTATTTAATTCACCTGTTACAAATAATTGTATTTCAATAGTCAGGATGTGAATTGCATACATTATGTGTTGTTACGTGGGACAAGCCATAATGTTTGTCTAGATGACAGGAATACATCGACAATGTCTCTATTTTAAAAAGCGATCAGCAGATATATTACTTGAACTATTCTTAAAATCAATTATATTTTTATACATGTTCTTATTTATACAGTAGGTTTGCGGGTGCACCATGTGTGAGAGAGAGAGAGAGAGGGTTGTTCTTATTTGTTGTTTATTGCTGTTATGAATTTATGTTCAAGATTTTGTTATTAATATTTGTTAAAGTCATTGGTAATAATTAGACAAACAAATAAACAAAAAAACAATATGTAACAGGGCCTCATGGAAGACCACCATTATTGGTGATAATGAGTCACCCTGTCTCAATATCAGAAATGAATCAAATAAAAATCACCTCACTGAACTACTTTCCTTCAACTTACTTGGTAAGTATAGGCTCATCGGTATGTTTGTTATAGACAACAGGGATGGGTACGCCCCAGACTCTTTGCCGTGATATACACCAAAAGGTCCTAGCTGCCAGCTGAGTTCGCATTGTAGCTCTTCCATACACTGGTCTCATATCGATCTCATCTAGACACTCCTACAACAAACAGCAGTCAAATGAATTGAATTGACATTTATTTCAATCATCATGAAAATATTTATAAAGACAAAAGATGTAATTTCCTCTTTCAATTGTTCATATTTACATTGATGGTACATTTTAACATATTCACATATTCATATACATATAGATCAATTTGCACAATACAATACATTAAAAAAATAAACATGAAATTGAAAGGGAAAGGAGGGCCCACTAAAAAGCAGAGCTTGTAGGGTGTAGGCCCATGTGTAAAAGTAATTATTATGAATTAGTATTTTATGAGGAAAAAAACACAATAACAATAACTGATTCAGTAATACAAAAATCAGTTTTAAACACAAAACATTGATAAATACATACATGTTGATAAAACGAAACAATCAAAGTTGCATGAAGTCACACTAAAAATTATAGTTGATTGGGGAATGCAATAGCCTAGTAACTATTCAGAAGAAGGCTTTATCATAACATATATATATATCCAAATGACATCTAAATTGACATACTGTAATAACATTCAAAATATAAAGAAAATATGAAAGTATAAAACATAGCACAAATGGAAAATGGTGCACCATTATCTACTAGACTTACTGAGGCCGTGTCTCTAAGACTAGCATTATTGATAAACCATTTGACTATTAGACTTACCGAGGCTGTATCTCGAAGACTAGCAGTATTGATAAACCACTGTTTACTAGCCCTGATGATGATAGGTTTCTTAGTTCTCCAGTCATATGGGTAACTATGTTCATAGTCCTCCTGATGAAGTAGATTCTTGGATGATGCCAGCATGTCGATTACTGTACAAAACAAAACAATACATACATGTAACATCAGCAGTAAATATCACTGCATAGATCTTTGCAACATACCAGTTTGTAGACAGTAAATGGTATACATCAGGCCCTAAATACAATTCAATTTCCCTTTTTTTCCATATCTGGACCCTCAGCCTCTTCACAAACGAGAAAAATTCTTTAAAGCTGATTCGTTTAAAGAGCCTTAAACGAATCAGCTTTACATACGACATCATTCACACACAGAAATTTTGGTGCGATCATTTGGTGATTAACTGCTCTTAAAATGTGCAGTAGTCCCATTGCGCATTGAAGGTCAGGTCATATCAAACAAAGCGCACGCTCCATCCAGTTTAAACACGTATAACCGTTCACACACATAATGTCAAGCTCTCTAGATACAGACTTCGTATCTGCAGCCAGCTTTGAACGGCACATGAATCGCGACTTCAAATCTATCCGAACATCGTATAAACTACGTTCACACAGTGAAAATTTTCTTTAAAGCTGTTTATGAAACGTGGGACATGGCAGCTTTGGAGCACGTTTGTGCCCTCAGTATAAAAAGAAGGCCTCCCAAGCAATAGCAATCATTGTACCCTGAGATTTGACGAGACAACATCATGAATGCCCAAGATGAAGAAGATTTTGTGTTCGCATGTTTGCTGGGTACATACATCTAGTCTTTGCATCAGCAAGAAGGCGGCCAGCAGAGAGGGATGGCCAGAGTGCAGCAGGCAGGAAGAAGGCGGATGAGAAGGTCAAGATCCATGTGGGTGCCTGAATGGTTATCGGAAGACAGTAGCTGGGCCAACATTTCTCACCAGAGAGCTCCGCACCGGAGAACTATCTGAGGATGCCTCCAAAGCTCTTGGATGATATCCTGGAAAGAGTAACGCCAGCCATCTAGAGACAAGACAGGAAGTTTCGCACTGCCCGACCAGCTGGACTAAAGCTGTCAGTGACTCTGAGACATCTGGCCCCTGGGGACAATTACTTGCTGAAAACGCACCTTTTTAATTCATGACTGATATTCTGCAGTTGTGAGTCGGTCAAAGGAGGTGCACACCCTCTTATTCCTTGTTCGTTTGATCTTATGTTTGATCCTATGTTTGACCTTATGTATGTTTGATCTCATTTTTATTATTATATATGCATGATTTATTGAATAAAGAACAGATTAATAATTTGTGTGTTTATTATAAATTTTGGTAAATAATTTTGTAGTCAGACAATGGTTTGCTTAGAGACACCCGTATTAAGCGCCTAATAAATGTTGTGTATTATTATTATTATTAATTACTTGTCTCTCTCCTATACTTTCCGGTGCAGTAAGGCAGCCATCTGCTACATGGTACCAGAAGTGTGCAAGGCCATCTTGGAAGCCTACAATGACGAAGTGTTCACCATTCTTGTGACGCCCGATGAGTAGAGAGCCCTTGCCCAGGAGTTTGAAGACAAGTGGAATGTGCCTCTGGACGGGAAGCATATTGCCACCAGGAAGCCACCCAACACAGGCCCCTTGTACCACAACCACTAGGGGTTTTATCAGTATCCCTCTCCTCGCTTTGGTGGGTGCCCAGTATCGTTTCATATGGATTGAAGTTGGTGGAGTGGGACACATGTCTGATGCCAAAATCTATGAATCGCAACTCAGTGAACTCCTCAAAGAAGGCCGGATAGGGTTGCCACTACCATGCTCTCTGCTGAACGATGACCAGAACCCGGACATCCCTTACTTCATCCTGGGAGACGACGCGTTTGCCTGAAGACGCTACCTGATGAAGCCATATGGGAGAAGAGCGTGGCAGCTTTTTGCGTAGGTTTAACGCGCAATATCTGAACAAGCACTTAATAGTGACCTAAGCTTCCGTGTTTGAGAGACAGCGTCACAGCACCATCGTACCTGTTTGAGTGACAGTGTCACAGCACCATCGTACCTGTTAGAGTGACAGCGTCACAGCAATATCGTACCTGTTTGGTTTGCATCCAGAAGAACATTCTTTCCTCTCAGTTCCTCCCTTAAATCATCGGTATAGAACCCCTCGCTGTCTACCTGGCATGTCTGATGATAATAATCACAATAATAAAAATCATCATCGTCATCATCCATCATCTTCATCATCATAATCATTGTCATCATAATCATCGTCATCATCATCATCATCATCACCAGCATCATCATCATTCATCCTCATCACCATCACCATCATCACCATCATCATCATCCTCACCATCATCATCATCATCATCATCATCACCATTATCATCATCATCAATATCATCATCATCTTCATCATGAGTATTTGTAAATCAAAGGGTTTAATGATGACAAAAGTAAACTGCTTCATAGTTTTGAACAGCTACGTACCACTTTGAGGTTGTGCTGTATTGCTACTCCATAGTCTTCTGCACCATGTGCTGGGGCAGTGTGAATCAGACCGGTACCCAAACCCATCTTGACATGGTTAGCAGCAAGTAATGGCACATGATGACATGGATCCAACGGATGATACAGGGAACACCCTTCAAGGCATCTTCCTGTACACAAGGTGAAAAAAGGAGAGGTAGATACGTAAAACAATCACCGCATCACTTTTATCCTCAAAACCAACTATACAAATAAAATGTCAAAATGTTGGGTTACAATGTTTCTCTAGTAACCTCTCTCTCTCTCTCTCTCTCTCTCTCTCTCTCTCTCTGTTTGTCTCCCCCTTCTCTTTCTCTCTCTCTCTCTCTCTTTCTATGTCTTTCTGTCTCCTTTATTATCAAAAAAGGTAATCAGCATTGACAAACTTATCAAATATTAATCGACCAAAAAACATTTTGTTATCATAAACTGTATTTTCTCAATTTTATTTTTATAAACCAATGAGACACTTGATTCAATATTCTATATCACGATGTTAAAAAATATAAAGATCTAAAGCAATTATGTATTTTTTATTTATAGATTTGTTATAGGAATATGAATTTTGATTGATTTTGATTAGTCAGCCCTATTTATAAATAATACTGATATTATTTACAGATCTTTTAGAAATGAATTTATTTTAGTTTCTTTATATCTACCTGAGAAAGTCGTAATAATCCTGAGATCTCTTCCCCAAACTTCTTTCAGATCTGCTACTCTATCGGAAGCAATTATCAGTCTATCATCAGTCCCCTTGCATTCCAACAAGCAGTAGTCTTTATCAGCCATGTAACAGACCGCCTGATTGGCTGGAATAGTCCAGGGGGTTGTAGTCCATATAACAACAGCTGCATTGTCTGTATTGCCTGCAAGATAATTCAAACAATAATCTTTATAAGATGATGACGTGGATCCTGATCAAATGATTGGTTCATAGCGTACACGTGACCAGGCATTTATTTTGCCTAACACGTAATTTGGATAATGACCGGTCATTATCCAAGTCACATGACCGGTCATTAGTAAAGCCATGTTATAAAACGTCATTTGATATAACAAATACAACATAATCTTATAAAACAAATAATACACAGCATTTTGTTCGGGCATTAGTAAAATTACCCACACTCGGTACCTTCAAAACAGTCCAAACAGACTGTTCCAACGGTACCTTGTGTGGGTAATTCTTACTAATGCCCTCACGGCTGTGTATTATTTGAATATTATCATTTCAATATACATGTTCAATGGCAAATTAAATGAAGAGAATGCTACTACAAGCTCTAGTTTCAAGTACATAAGCACAAGGCACGATGGCTCAGTTGTAGAGCAGTGGTCTCCCAACCTAAATGTCCCGGGTTAAAAACCAATTCAATGTGCTAGTTCCCTTTGGTAAGGCATTAATTCTCATTTCCAAGGCCGTTAGAGAGGATTTAAAGTCACCCTGGTTGCTTACTTACAAGCATACACATGCTTTCTTAGCAGTCAGGTAAAACAAACAAACCTACAAACATACACTGTAGTGTCTTCCCAGAACACGTTGAAAGCACTGTGATATATTGGTAAGGCTCTTGACTCCCATAGGAGCATACAAGAGGTCCAGGAATCGATCTTTGCTTAGTGTTTTAATTCCTCTTTTGGACAAGGTGTTAACCCAAATTTGTCTCTCTCAACCATGGTGTATTAAATGGGTACCTGGCAATGCTGGTAATAACTGCAGCATCCGCGGGAAGAGCAGTATTAGTGCTGAGGTGGCTATCTCAAATTATCAAGACCAAATTATTATGATAATTATCATAAGACCAAAATGATCACAATGTATTATTACCCCAGTCACTGGATTCAATTATGATTCTGCACTTTACAGTGTAAACTCTCCGCTCCTCTATGGAGCATTCTAGCATTTGCATCCTACCAAGGTCTGCATTCAATCCAATACTTTTGTCAGAAATATGAGTATTTTACATAGCTTTCGGCCCAGGTAAAATACTTGGGTATCCAGTTGAAGTTTTTGGCTAAATTATTTACCCTAAACTTAAGACAGCAACCAAAGAGATTTCAAACAATAATTTGGATGGGTTGAATGGGAGGCATATCGTTTTCATATATACAGTCATTATAAGCTCATAAGCAACTATATTAGCGTGCATTTTATGAGACGCGTTAATTGCTAAAGTTTTGGATTGACCATGTAGGAATATGAGTCAGTCAGGTACTTTTGCAGAAATGGTAAGATACAAAAAAATCCTTGTCAGCACAAACCCTTCACTACAAAGTAGTACTTATCAGTAGGAAGCAAACAAGATCACCTTTTGGCCTTTAAAAAAAATTGTCCTTTGCGACCAACTCAAAAATCTTGAAATCTACGGTTGGCTTTTTAAAAAAGTTTTTTTTTTAAACCGTTTTTAGAGAAGGAAACAAATTAAAGCATTCAAAACTGAGAAATATCAGCCCACAGAGGGAGAAAATAAAGAAAAAAAAGTTTAAAAAAAAAAATTCTGACCAACCCATGTTTTGGCACCAAAAGGGAGATACAACATCTTGGGGGGGGGGGGGGGGCTTACCCAAGGCATCAGCTAGCAGAGTTGATGGAGCATGGATGGAAAACTTGACATAGATGGCTGGCGAGATATGATGAGGGTTGTATTCCAATTCAGCCTCAGCTAGTGCAGTTCTGCAAACCAATTCACAAAATCAGAAACTTGATCAGTTTCAGGAGGAGTTTTAATTGCAAAAGATATTGATCACAAAGTATCGGTCGACTATTTCAACAAGCAGTAGGCTGACATTAGCTGACTTTCATTACATTGACAATGTGTACATTGTATGTGAAATATATGTATACTCCAACACAATAAGACGGACTACTGTAGGTTCTAAATCCATTGTTGATGATTAACATGTCATCCATGCAAGAATGATTTCTATGAAAACCAAGTAAATGATCATTTATTTATAATCTCTTGATAATGATATGAGCCAGGGTTCAATCGCTAGATGTACCGGTAGTCCTTCTCAGCCTCTACTTTTGAAGTTCTACACAATACTTTATCAGAAACTTGATCTGTAATAGGAATGTTCAACTACCATACTACTACCATCATTATCTACAACCAATGTAAGCAACTTTCCCCATACATTCTTTTTAAACTGCAAATATGTAAACATTGTATAAAAGAATGGGTTACCCCAAGGATGTGTCCTGGGACCCAACCTTTTTCACATCTATGTGAATGACTAGCCAATCCCCCTAACACGGGTTATTCATTTTGCAGATGACATGTGTATCATCACACAAACTGTGGAATTCCTTGATAAATCATGTGACAATCATGTGACAATCACGTGACAATCATGTGACAACCATGTGACAATATTACCTTGATGATGGAGACCAGTTGACAGGTTTTACGTCCCTATAGATGAAACCCTAATGGTAAGAGAAATATAATATAAAAGGATTCCACTTCAATTAAGAAATTACACATCATCAAGTTCATATGCCTGTCTCCCCCCCCCAAAAAAAAAAACAGAACTAACATGCGAGTACTACATAATTTAACCTTTTCATTGTTTGGCCTTTAGTACAGGGCAAATGGGAGAGGAGCTCGCAATTTAAGTCACAGATTTGCCAATTTGTGTTTGATTGATCGCACCATCAAATACTCATCAACTTTCTTATTGTCAATCGGTTTTTGCTAAAACTTTCACTGGCCTGTTTCTCTCATTCTGCTGCTTCTATCAAAAATAATTTAATATCAGAGTGGACTTCCCCTTGAAATGTACTACACGTATGTCCCATTTGCAGGCCACAAAAATGAAAAGGTTAAATTCCAATTCCAATTTCCTAAGAAAAGGGGGGGCTTGAAAATGTCTTTAAGTGGGAAAATAACGACTATTTAGCTGTCGAATCGACTAAGAGCTATAGAGTCTGAAGTAATAGTCTGATTTTCAGACCATTGTACCAATAGTCGTACGTTTTATGCTGTGCAAAGATTCAATCAGTTTAATTATGGCCATTACAAGAAGTGTGTTATTGATGTAGACAAATGACCATGTACCCTTTACAACTCATTTTATGTACAGCATGTTATTCCCCCCCCCCCAAAAAAAAAGCCAGTCAGTCACTCAATAGTGTCTGACAGTGAAATCTAGCAAGTAAACGGTTTCCTTGCATAATTTGAATATTAGGACACTGCTAACGTTTAAATTTCACAGATTATAGGACATACATGACATATTCATAATTTCTGCAAAGTTCTACAGAATTTGATGTTGGCTGCAAAAGGAAAATACATGTAGTATCTTTAAATGTCAAATCTATTTTAAAAACTCAGGTAAACATGTAGGAACACAGTCATTGTATCATACCTTCTGATACATGTCATGGAAGAGTTGTAGTTGTGACGCTTCATATTCTTTGTCGAATGTGTAGTAACAATTATCCCTGTCAAAAGACAAAACCAGAAAACATAGAAATGGTCATTACGTTTATCATAGAAAAAATTCATATGAAATTATGAAAATGGTTGTACATGTATATTTCTTACTAAAAGATGTATTAAATTGTATTGTGGTAAACCTGAAATTTTGAATCATGAGGAACCAGCACAAATACCTGATGCATCAGAAATCTAGTTTTTATCTTATTCATCTAAAATAAGTTAAGGATCCCAAAAAAGGGGGTAAGAGGCACTATTCTATTGACCAATTTGTGAGATTTTGTATACAAAATCGTTGCTCCCTGGTGGTCCCTCTTATTTTCTGACAAACATCGGGGGACATGCCCCCCCCCCCCCCCGATTGACACACTCGATCCCAACCCTAACCCTAAACTTAAACCTAACCTTAACATTTATCCTTATCCTACCCCTAACCTCAACCCTAACCCTCATTCTGACTCTAACCCTGACCAGAACCTTAGCCTAATCCTCCTCATAACCCTACTCCTAACCCTTACACTAACTGTAACCCTAACCCAAACTATAACCCCAACCCTAATCCTAACCCCCAAACTTGACCCTAACCCAAGCCATAAACCTAATACTTCCCCTAACCATACATGTAAGCTTAACCCCAATGCATTGCACTGATGTGTGATTAAGTACTCTACAGGAGAGAATTATCAACCAACCTCAAGAATATTTAAATCTGAATAAATCAGGGACCCGTTTCACAAAGCCTTTTTTCAATGACAAATGACAACCAGAACGTCAATGACGTAGCGCTCATCCGCATCTCGCAGCAAAAAATATCGTAAATTTTATGCGGTACACTTTTGAACTGGTCAAAATATAAAAATTTGATGACCTGGAAGGGACATAATTTCATTTCATTTGCATAAAATACCATAAATAATCAATGGAGCAAAATCTCAAAATTCTGAATACAAGTTTAGTGTTCCAAATTTAGCTCTACCAGATAAGGCAAACCAAACCAAAATCGGTCAAGAAATGAGGGAGAAGAAGCAATTTTTGTTATTTTTGGAATAAATTTGCATAAATTACCATAACTAGTTAATGGAGAACAATTTCGAATTCGGTGTAGAAGTTTAGTGTACCAAAGTTAGCTCTGCATAAATTAACATAGATAATGAATTTCACGATTCGGTGGAGAACTTTTAAATCCCCTTGCTAGCCCTATCATATGAAACAATCAGAATCAAAATCGGTTGAAAAATAACGAAGAAGAAGCATTTTGAAAACTGTGGACGGACGGACGGACGGACGGAACGACGGACAACGGACGCCACGGCATGGCATAAGCCCATCAGGCCCTTCGGTCCGGATGAGCTAAAAATCAGGGAGAAATCTGCTGATAACCAATCAGAAGCAAGGATTTCTGTGCTTGTAACACAAATTGTCATTTGTCACTGATGACAAGTTTTGTTGTGAGGGGATTTAAAGTGACTCACCAGTCTGCCATGATCCCCCATCTCTTGAATGCAGTCATCTGGCTCTCAATCGCTTTCAATGCAAATTTTCTAGCTGAATAATTATAAAGAGTATGACATGTATTATTTTTATTTTTTATACTACCCCTGTAAAAAAAGAATCTGTTCTGTCATCAATAACTATTAAAGAGATTGAAAGTTTTTGAAATTGTCTGTACGGAGCAAATTGGAGAAGAGCTCACAAGACCATCACAGTATTGCCAATTTGCTATTAAACCAAGTTAATATTAGGCTGGACTTCCCCCTTAAGTAAACACCTAAAATAAATATTTCGTCCTGTATATTAAGGATTCAATGTTGCTATTTTATATTAAAAATATGAGCTTCAAATGTGCTGATATTGCAAGTTTACATACATTCTCAATCAACAACAAGTGACTGGCAAGTAAACTAATCAACGCATCCGTAATCCATCACAAAGAATACGGCGCAGCGCGGAACGCAGGGCCGACTTGCGTTCCCTGCAAAAGGCTTGATATATACTTCATTTCTTTCATTATCCTTCAGCCCATGTTAGGTAAACTTTGAAATATTCTTCCTGTTCACAAGTTATATTTTTAGGTGATTGGTATACGTATACCTTTTATTTAAAGATAGACAACATGTTCTTACCTTGATATCTAATTTGCAAAGCAGAAAGCTTTCTAAAATCTTCCTTGGACTCTGTGAGAGCTTTGAGTTCAATGGGAAGTCCATGGCAGTCCCATCCAGGTACATAGTGAACCTTGTATCCTCTCATCAACTTGTAACGGTTGATGATATCTTTCAGAATCTAATCAAAATAAAAAAATTGGTGAGATCTTTGAGTTGCAAGATTAGCCTGGGGCAGTAGGATCCACAATAGGATAGGAATTTTCAATTTCGCAACCTCTCATCCATTTTGTAACTTCTCTCAATCCCATAGGCCTTAATATACATGTACATGTACAGGTGTCGGGCACCCAGTAGGATGAGAAAGCCAATGTGGTATGCTTAGCGATTTGAGCCTAGTAGCTCTTGTTGGAATGCTCCCCAGGGAGTGGAGAAAGTGCCTACATTGTGTGCGGGCAAGCCAGAATCCAATGACCAGGGTAATAATGTATAGCGCTTAGAAACTCAGACATTCCTGACGTATTAAGCGCTATACATGTACATGTACAGTGTATAAGCAAAAATATTATTGTTATTATATCATAAAGTATAGAGTGGTCCATACAAAAAAAAATACAGCATGACCAACATTTATATCTCATTAAGTCCAGGGGGGTGTTTCATAAAGCTGTTCATAAAGTTATGCATGACTTTACGAATGACTTACATGTATATGAAAGCCAAATAGGATGCTCAATCATGTTTTAACTGCATCAACTAAAGTTGAACTGTGCAGATGTAGATTGACTTTCTTATTATAAAAAACATTTTTAATAAAAAAGTATAATTTTTGCCATAATTCAATTGAGGTTACCTTTTTATTGGAAATATAGTCAAACTTCATGAAAACTTCAGGAAAAACTTTGGGCATCCTATCTGGCACTTCATATTCAAGTTGTTCTTAAAGTCATGCGTGACTTTACGAACAGCTTAATGAAACACCCCCCAGGATGGTCCATACAAAAGTTACCTATTAATTCACAGCACAACCAACATTCATATTGCATAAAGTATAGGATGGTCCATAAAAATGCTTACCTTATTCAAAGCATGACCAACGTGCACATCTCCATTAGCGTATGGTGGACCATCATGTAAGGTAAAATTCTTCTCTCTCAGACTGTCCCTCTGCCACGCATACAGCTCACTGAATCCACAAGCCTGGTACAAACATAGATACAGTATATACATGTAGGTCATTAGGAAAATTGTATACAAATCTATTAAATGTGTTACCTACAAATGTATGCTTATGTAGTGTGCGTCAGTTATGTGTGAAGTGTGACACCTGTATAAAGCATCAGTGAAAAAAATACATGAGGCTCGGGGCAAATTATCCGCCCTAAAAGCTAATAGGAGCCTCCGAAAGTCATAAATGAGCCCCGAAAAATTTGCATAGAGTTCAATGCAAAACAAATTAATGAGCGTTACTTTCATGCAAGCAAGCTTGAAAAGTAGCCCTCAAAATTTTTAAAGTATTTTTTCCCTGCAAAGCATGACATGTCAGTGTGTTAATTTGTAATGTAAGATTTTGTATGGTCAGCACCATTGCGATCTCTGCTTAGAAATATATCCCCTTTGCAGCCAACATCAAATTCTGTAGAACTTTGCAGGAATTATGAATTTGTCATGTACATACATTGTATATCCTATAGATCTGTGAAATTTAAACATTAGCAGTGTGTCGATTCTACAATAGTCATTATTTTTCCATTAAATGCCATTTTCAAGCCCTTTCGTTTTGAGGGAAGTTCTGAAGTAGACAGTATTGTCTTTCAAATGCCGTTGATATTTAACCTTTTCGTTTTTTTGGCCTGCAAATGGGACATACATGAACAGAAGGCCAAGTACCTTTAAGTGGGCCTTCTCTCACTTTAATTTGAAACCGCTCGAGCAGATCAGCCAATGGGAGCGCGTTTACTCACTGTACAGCGCTCAGTGCGGGAAGTTCTAAGTGCCGTGTGTACATGCAACAGCTGTACGTCGGTGGCCGAGATCGCGATATCTCCACTTCTCGGCTGCTGTACATACACATGACATGGTTGGAAAAAGGATTGCCTTGTCCCGAAAAAAGGCCTAAAATTCTACAAAATGAGCTTTAAATCAATGGTGACCTTGGCCTTGGACTAGATATTCTGCAAATAAAGCATTTTTGATCATTTTTACTTTTAGTATCTTTTTTATTCATTTTTTTAGTCTTGTTTGAAGCATTTTTAAGATGTTCTGAAGTGTTTACTAATCTGAGAAGCAATTAATTGTTGAAGTAAACTTATGTTGCAATGAGTGACATCAGAGAAACATCCGAGACTGAAGCTTTTGCCTTTCGGTTTATCCCGAGGAGCTCAGTCAGTAGACATTGTCAGTTTAATACGTGCGACATCATATCAGGTATATGGGACTGAAATGAAAGCCCCATCACCGTGGAACAAGCTAGGCATGTGCACGCTGCCTGGAGCGCCGGGGGATAATAAAGCAACGTACCGATTGAACTGACTGCTCCCTCTTTCCTGCACCCCATAGCTCAAAAGAAGTGTTTGGTAAATTCAACGTGTCGCTGTATCTACTACTTTTATGACGTCTGAGAGTTTGATGGAACCTCAACAATCCACAACACTCTTTAAATCGTTGAATTGTCCGTGTTGCTTCTTTATAAAGTTGCATTTTGACGGCGGTCTCGAGCACTGTTATCACACGTGAATTCACACGAGTATTCTAGATTCTTTACAAGACTTATTTTCACATTATTTTGTGACATCAAATGTTGAGATTGGATGACCGGATTTGATTGGATTAAATTAGATTGATTTGAGTAATAATAATAATAATCTGGATTTAAATAGCGCCTGATATGAAAGACCGTCGATCTCTACGGTCTCTTAGCACATATACAAATATTATTAAGTCGGTCATTGGATTGAAACGCCATATCATATTCATTATTTAGTTATTCTACACACTAAACGGTTCCTCAAAAAAGGCAGCTTTAATCAGTGGCGGATCCAGGGGAGGGGGGCCTCCCCCCCCCCCCCCCCCCCTCCTCTTGAGAAAAAAAATCATAAAAAACACCTTTGGGGGGCCCCAAAAGGGCGCTTAAGGGGGGGGATGCAAATTTTTTAATTTCCGAGGACAAAAAAAAAAAAAATGTGCTCTAAAAAACATAGGACAATATGGAAAAAGCAGTCTAAAAAAGTTCCAGACAATCTTGGAATTTTTTTTTTTGGGGGGGGGGGGGCACGTGCCCCCATCCTGTTTGAATTCCATCTTGAACTGCCCTATTGTTATCTCAATTCATGTCTGGTCAGTTTCTTTATAATCATGTTTGAATTTGAATTAATCTTTACCTTTGGCAAGAGGAATACAAAAAAAAGCTTAATTTGAAGTTGAAATGATCCATAATTTAGGTCATATCATATCGAGGACCAAGCCTACATGTATTATATATGCTATCCATGATACTTTTAGTAGTACCAAAGGGTGAAGGTGCCAAGGAGAAAAACATAAATGAACAATATTTGTGTACACTACGTACGATCAGGAGAGTTATTCAGGGGAATGTTTCACAAAGATCCTAAGTCAAATTTAACTTTAAGTTGGACTTAAACATTCTGGAGAGCCATTCGTAGCCTTAAAATAAAATACATTCAAAAGCAAAAATTGAAGTATTTTGGACTTTTCATAAATTCCACATCAAGAACGTGAAATCTCCTTGCCAATAGAAAATATGAATAATTTGAATCAACATTTTATGCCTTTTAAAATAACTTTTACAAGGTATTTTCAAAGATGCTAACGGCTTTCCATAATTGTTAAGTGCAACTTAGAGATAAGTTCAACTTAGGATCTTTGTGAAACACCCCCAGGACTACATCACAATCCTCTGATCAATTGCCAATTTGAGATTTATTATTGGTCTGAATTTTTTGGGCATTCTACTTCTCTTATCTTTCTGTGTTCACACTAATGACTTATTACAAAGGTTGGATTTCCCAATAAATGCAAAACAACACAAAATGAATTTTCAAAAACTAAATGACAAAATAAAAACAATTGACATCATAACTTGTAAATGTTTTTAGGCATACTTTTTATCTCCATCAAGTTGAAATGATAAATAATTTGATATATACAATTTTCCGTTTGAAACCTGTAGATACTTACAGATGGCACTGGCATCATATTATACACTGATTACTTTGTATAGCAAACATAGCTACACTCAGCAACACCAACAAAAGTGGACACAAAAAAAATCATGTAAACCATCAATAAAATATAATATAGAGATTTCGACTGCTACGAGAGGACTGGCTTTTTTTATACGCTCAAGACCCAGGCGTGCTTCAGGGTGATAGCAGCGGATGAAATTTTTCAAAGAGCTTATAAAAACGGCCAGTCCTTGAGTATTAAAGCAGTCGCTATCCCTTTTATATGCCAAATTCAAACAAAAATTTACGAAGAATTCTTACCTTATCCTTTTATTGAGTAAAGATTGGTTAAGAAATCATGGAAAATCTGAGAAGCTGTCTGTTTATCGCAGACAAAAAACACTGTATGGTGTCCGTGCTCACTCAAAGAACATTTTAACACGTAAACCATTGGGTATCGGAGCAAGATTTTATTATTTTCCCGGTAACTGGAATTTTGAGGGATTTTACTCTTTTGGACTACTAATCGGTTTTGGCACTTTTCGTTTCCTTACGGGAATGGCTAAAATCACGACTGCAATTTCGACCAATCAGATGGCTGGATTTCTTAAGTGAGGTATATAAAAATAAGAAAAACTAATTCCTACAAACAGTAATTGTTGTTTTTTTGTTGTTTTGGGGGGGGGGCTCTCGGAAATTTGAAAAATTGCACCCCCTCCCCCATGAGCCCTAAGTAAAAATTTTTTTAAAAAGGTAAAATGAACATGTTTTACCTGTTTTTTTCCCCCAGGGGAGGGGGCCATTGGGATGTCATGCCCCAAGGTCCGGATTAACAAGCACAGCTGTGTGGACTTTGAGAAGCCCTGATGTCTCTTTTTACACTATCCCTTTCCTCATGTACATTAAACAAATCTCCTCAAATACTCCAAAATATTTGGTGATAAACTTTTGAATCGGCAACTATAAATATGACCTTGCACCACAAAACCACTAAAAGTCGCATAGTGTGATTTTTTTTGTTAGAGCTCTAAAGGTGTATTTTGTCAGGTTGAAGAAAAGTTTAGTTTTTAGCATTTCTTGAAAAAATATACTTTCTTCTATCTTATTACCGAATTTTGAACCACCATATTATCTAGAATTAGAATTTTTTGCAGCGTTTTGTAGGCCTATATTTGGCTGATTTTGATTTGTTGTTAATGTGTTTATTTTGTAGTACCGGTAGTTCTAATTTTGTTGAGACCCTGGCTACTGGTCTCCCATAACTTGAAAAAAGAGTGAGCTTTTGCATTGATACCTAGACACAAAAAACAGGATGCATAGAATTGGTGTGACAACTTTTAGAACAATCTGATAATCCCTTTTTGCTAAGGTAAAGTTCTCCATCACAGGGCATTCTCCTCCTTTTTCCAATGGGTTAGGAACATCCAATCTTTCAGAATCAGACCTAAACCAAAATGCCATTTCTGACAAATTTTGGGTGGTTTTGTGGTGCTGGGTCATATAAATATGAGTTGATATAAAGTAATAATATATACACATTTATCTAGAATATACAAATAATGCAATACATAAAAAATAATTGTTTCAAGACAGTACATATCCACCAGATGTCAAAGGGGAAGATTGAAAATGACAAACCAAATGACTCATCATCCGCAAAACAGAATGCAGTTTGAAAATTGTTGAAGATTATATTCCGCATTTCATTACAGAGACCTTATCTCAGATGAAAAACTGTTATGACTGGTGCATTTAACAACTCTTTGTATGCCACAAATAATCTCCCAGTGCCACATTGTATTTATCATGGTATAGACATTACCATTAAAGGCATTATTCACAGTTGCCTCTCATTACCCAGGAGACATTAAACACCAGTGAGCATTGGAGACAACCATAGACCAGTTTACTAGTGTATGCATAGTTGGAGATGGCATGCTTCACTCTGTATTGCTCGGGCAAAGTAGCACACTAGCAGCCAATCTTATAATGCTAGTAACTTAATTGCAGGGCTCCATTTGGTTCAATATCCAACTACCAATAATAAATTACCACTAGAAATAAGGAAAGCCCCATCACTAGATAATTTTAAATCAAAACTGAAAACTCACTTGTTCATATAGTATGTATAGCACAGCATTTACGAGCTCTTGCAGCGCAGTAGAATATATCCACATATTTATTGTGCTTTACAAATGAATATTATTATTATTATTATTTTAATAATCACATGACATACTCTTTTGATTAAAACATTAAGTATATATTCTACTGCGCTACAATAGCTCCTGATATGCTAAGATTTACAGTTAATTAAAGAGATGTGCTTTCAGTTTTGATTTAAAGATATTTACAGATGGTGATTTCCTGACTACCTTTGCCACTGTCAGGCATGTTTGCATGTATGCTATTAAAGAACATGTTTTAGTCATACATGTACATGTACATGTCTATGTACCTAACAACAAAATGGATACACTCAAGTAAATTTGAAAGTTCTTTGGACATGTTATACTTTCCAATTTACAATTTAAATTATTATCATCTTGATTATGACACTCCTTGCAACAGTTCCCAAACAGCAGTGAGACTCAAAATGCATACTTCTGCCCTTCCCTTACGACAGTGGCTGGTCTACAATTGCAATACAGAATAACTGTTGGCTGTTAGCAGTCAATGACATACTCTGTAGTCTCGTAGCAAATGAAACAGCAGACCTCACAGCCTTGTATGAGGTATCCCTGATAGCAGCATGATGCAGCTTGACTGCTTCAATACTCTGGCGGGTTCAAGATGAATAACCTGGTCTCTTCTTTCTGTAAATATCAGAAAACAACACAGCACTCTTTTATTGTATTTTCCATGTATATCAACGTTAAATTCACGCTATCGCCAATACCCCTAAATACATCTTGCTTGTAATATCAGGGGGGGGGGGGTGTTTCATAAAGCTGTTTGTAAAGTTACGCATGACTTTACGAACGAATTGTATATGAAGTGCCAGATAGGATGCCCAAAGTTTTTTCAATTAAATTACCGGGTATGGCAAAAATATACTTTGCATTAAAGATGTTTGTTATAATAAGAAAGTTAATCTACATCTCCACAGTTCAACTTTAGTTGACGTGAAGTAAAGACGTAAAGTCATGCATAACTTTACAAACAGCTTTATGAAACACCCCCAAGGCCACTTATGGGACTTGCAGAAAGTCTGTTACAGCTAGTGACTTACATCAAAGTAGTACTATGAACCCGTTTGAGGGAATTTTCGTGCAAAAGCATGTCTTGAATGACATTTTGTAATGCTGCCTAAGTAAAAAAAAATAGCCAATCAAATTCAGCTTCAAAGGGCCCCCAAAAAGGCCTTACATCAAATCAAAAGACAGACACAAAAAGATAGAAAGGAACAACGGGAGACACACACGCACACATCTTATGATATAAAACAGAATTCAGGGAATACGTGCAGAACGTTTATTCCGTGTTCATTTGTATGTTGTTTTTTTAAAGCCCCACTGTCCTACTAGTTCATGTAGCTACTTGCTCCCTCTATACAGAAAACTTCCCCAATCGGTGCCTGTTGGTCCCCCATGATCCTCTTTTTCTTATGTTAGTTGAGAGCTGAGTTAATGAGATAGCCACCTGTCAGTGACCTTGCTGTGTGGTCTAATCCGTTCTGGCCCAGTAGTATTGACGGTCTTTAAACTGTGGCTTTTTTGAAAGGATTGAAAGCATCCTATGTGAATAACCCTTGGGAAGTATGTACTTACCTTGATCCATTTGAGTAGTTTATTGACAGCAAATATAGCAGCTTGTTTGGTGGTTAGAGGACCAAAGATGGCAAACAGTTCAAACCCTCCAGTTACCTACAAATCAAATCAAAATATTGTTAATTAAAACGATTAAAAAATAAAATAATATTAATTCCGCTTTTATATAGCGCTTTACATGTACATATATGATGGCTCTAAGCGCTTTACAGATTTACTATTACCCCGTTCATTGGATTCAGTGCTTGCCTGCACACACTGTGTGCACAATCTCCACTCCCTGGGGAGCATTCCAGCCAGGCGTTACTGGACGCTCAAAAACTGTTTGACCAACAATGACGGTCGCATCTTTAATACCGTGTTGTGGCCTAGGGGATAAGTCACTGGACTGCAAACCACAGGGTAAGGGGTATTAAGAATCTCTGCCACAGCAGGACTGCCTTTGGCAAGACATTTAGCATTTGCGTGAGGTGATTGGGTACCTGGCAGAAAGTAATTCCTTGAAATTATAAAGCTTCATAATGGCAGCTATGCTAAAGCAGTGCCAGGAGTGTCAAGTTTGACAGAATTGAGCGCTATACAAGAAACCTCAGTGTAAGCTGGCTTTGTAATAATATAATGGCAGGTAAAACCATGGCTTTGTTTAAGTGGAAGGCCATCCCGATTTTAAGTGAATTTCATTATGAAGCAGAAGATTGAGAGAAACAGATCATTACAAGTTTTGAGTAACTTTAAAGAAACACAAAATTAGTTTGAATGAACTTACCCATCCTAAAACAGCTTCTTTAGATCCTACGGTAAACATGATTTTAAGTGGTCTTGATGGACTATGGACTCTCTGATGAGTGTACTGGTATAATGATAATAACCTGCAAAATACAAGAGAAGTCTCATCTTACATACAGTTAATAACTCAATTATTTGTACCCTTACCAAGTTTTGTTGTTTTGTAGTATGTGCAAAATTGATTTGTCCATATCTGTTTCTTGAGAATGCGACGTATTGAAGCTTACATCTAAAAGTATTCAAAGGAGGCCCCAATTCAACAATTCCACCTCTCTTTCTTGAGTTATGAAAAACACATCAAATGCACAAGATGTATGAATAATTTAGTTGTTAACTAAATGTTGAGAGACCAATGATGAGACTAAGATCAACTTTAAGTTGGACTTAACTATGGCAGGCTGTTCATGCCACTGGTTGCTCTCATCATTGGTCTCTCAATTATGATCTTTAGATAATATTTTAAACTTCAGTAATGAACTATCAAAAAAGGTGAATTATGTAGATTTGTGACCATGATTTGTATGTCCCTTGATAGAGCAATGCCATGAATGGTTAGAGAAACTCGTTGCATGAATGGCCTGCCAGAGTTAAGTCCACCTTGAAGTCAATCTTAGTCTTTGTGAAACACTCCCCAGAGATATCAAATATAAATGCAATATCAATGGTAAAATGAATCATCACCATACCTATCTCTCTCATCTGGCTGCGTGTAGGGAGCATCCAGTTCTGGTGCAGTATACTGGGCGGTGCTTCGGGATTTATACAAGAAGTGGCGAAGGTCACTAATGCCGACCTCTTGACATCGGAAACTGCCCTTGGACACAGCTCGTTGGATGGCAGCTATACAGTTGTTCTTCTGTAATTTCTGCCACAAAAAAATAAAACAACAAAGATTGAGGGGACTGACCAGTACGATATGGCCTAAAATGAAACTATTTAAAAGTCACGTGCTATGCTAATGTCACACAATAAAATAATTCTCTTTTGCTCCATCAGTGTTGTTATGACCTTCAGGGATGCCAGATAGAATTGATTAGAGGGCCTGAAAATCACCTAGAATGAGCTATTGTGTACACAAAAAGCCTAAATTATGGTCTGAAAATAACTCGCCAGGGCCTGAACTCAGGCTATTGCCTGAAAAATGGCATCCCCGGACCTTAGAATAGTTTTAATGCTCCATCCTAATAATAATAATAATAATACCAAAGCTGCTTTCTTATATAGTGTTTTACCATTGACTGACCTAAGTGCTCACAGTATTATTATTACCCCAGTCACTGGACTCAATCACTGTTCTGCATTTTATAGTGCACACTCTCCAGTCCCTGGGGAGCATTCTAGCTAGTCACCGCTAGTGACAGACGTGATACACATGCTAATCTGACCACTACACAATGACGTTCGCATCCTACCGGGTAACCCATTAACACCTGGGCGGAGAGAGGAGCAACGCTCAAGTGATTGGGGCTCGAACCCACCACCTAAGTTTGCATTTCCACTCAAGGTTATTAAACCACTCAACTACAACACCTCTACCAGGGGTGAAAGTGAGCACTAAAATAAAAACTTTTTTTTGTTTTCATCCAACCAACCAACCAACCCCCCCCCCCCCTTCCCCCTTATAAGTAAAAAAAAAAAAGGATTCAGGAAAAAAAAATGGCATCTAACAAAATTCCCCCCCCCCCCCCCCCCCTCCCACCCTTTCGAGTACCGGTAAGAAAATCAGGGAAAAATAGGGAAAATAAGGGAAGAAAAAAAAATTAGGGAAAAAAATAAAACGGGGAAAATAAATAAATCAGGAAACCGATTTAAATCAGGTAATTATCAGTCCTGACCTCTTCAAATGAACATGTATATGTGAAAAAAGAATGGGTATTTTCAGTCACATTTCAGTCACATGGTGATCAACTTTAGATCAGTGTTCACAGCACGAATACAAAATGCACATTTGCCTACTCTCTATGACAACACGCAAATTACCTCTAAGATTTTCTCCTTGCATTTTGCCATTTCTGCAAAGGCCATTTTATCGACCGTTAGGAGGACGAGACAAGCAGGACTCTCGGCGAGGTAGGAGATGTGCGCATGAAGGAAACCACTACTATCAAACTTAGGTAGGCAAATTGGCAACCAGGAGTCAGAGTGCTTGAAGGAAGTGGATTTGTTGAGAAGATTCAAAACAAGATGCAAATCTAAAGCAAAATGAGATAAAAAGAAATAATGCCATACCATTGAAGAATCATTATTATTATTATTATTTATATACTGCGCTTTTCCCAGAGTGGCCCAAAGCACTTACAACAAGAAAAACCATACCAAAAATAAAAATGAAAACTTACATTCTCCTAAAAATCTGGATTACAAAAAAGAAATGTTTTAAGTCCCTTTTTGAATGAAGAGACAGATGGTGATTATCCGAGTGTTAAAGGTAGCCTATTCCAATATTTAGATGCAGTTATAGTGAAATCATGACTTCAAAGTGAAAAAATCATATCACATTTGCCAGGGGGGTTTCACAAAGATCCTAAGTTGAACTTATCTCTAAGTTGGACTAAACATTTTTGGAAAGCCATTAGCATCTATGAAAATATTAAGTAAAAGTTGTGTTAAAAGGCATAGAATGTTGATTAAAATCATTCATATTTTCTATCATCAAGGAGATTCATGTTCTTGATGTGGAATTTATAAAATGTGTAAAATACTTGAAATTTCGCTTTTGAATATATTTTATTTTCAAGCTACAAATGGCTCTCCATAAATTTTAAGTCCAACTTAGAGATAAGTTCTACTTAGGATCTTTTTGAAACCCCCCCCCCCCCTGAAGTTCTCTACAGCAGACACATGACGTGTAGCAGTAAAGTGACATGAAAAAGATTACTTATGAAAATTTCTCATACTCCATTTTGGACATCTAATGGTTTACTTATTCAAAATCTGTCTCACAGCCTAGGCTGTCACTCAAAGGGTTTTACTTTTTTGAGGCACTTCTTGATCATTTTGAAGTGCAATTTTTTTAGGGCTTCAATATAACACCATATAACAGTCACTGATAACATGTAGGCCGTGCAGCTCAGATTTGACATTGTTAAAAAGATCCCTTTAATTATCAACCTACCAGCTGGATGAAGGATATACTTCTTCATTCTCACGAGAGTGACTAATTGGTTGTCCGCTATGAGGATGGCAAAGACCAAGTCCTTAACCTTTGCACTATGCATAGCGCTACCGATCATATCACGTATTGCACTGTCCAATGGTAGACACCTGATAGCAGTCAGGAGGAAGCATGGGTCACGGTCCATCAGCTCTATCAAGTTATCAAGGAAGATCTCAGTACCTGAAATACAACAAGAAGAGGTTATGGACCCATTAAGTTAAAAAATAAAAATAAAAATAATCTGGACAAATTCTGGATTTATATAGCTTTAATATAAAATACTGTCTCTAAGTGATTTACAGATATTATTACCCCAATCATCAGATTCATTCACGCACAATGTGCACCATCTCCATAGTATCTTTAAAAGACTTACAAGAAAAAATCAACTCAATATAAATGCTTACCTCCTAAAAGCTTTCGTAGATCATAATTATCCCTCCTCTTGAAGATACTGGAGAGTTGTGAGTATGTCAAGACGCTGATTATATGGTTGTACACATACGTCAACTGCATCAGTAACTGTGAAAGAAAACAAATTATTATCTATATAAGGCTCCCAAGTGGTACAATAAATCAGCGTATTCAACATCTTTAGCGCAGTACCCGGATGACCGACCAATATTGTTTTCGCATTGCTCAGTCATCCGGAAACTTCAACTATCGATATCACACCCAAAAAAACGAGGTAAGACAAATTTTGTTATTTTGCTAGTCAACCTGATATAGATAATGATAATAATATTACATGGCTATGTTTTCTTGTCATACAAGAATATATTGCTCTTGCTATGACAATATTGGACTCGTCTCCGACTCATTGCAATATATTCTTGTTCCACACTAAAAGCCATCCAATATTATATAAGTGTTACAGGATTGGGGATAAAGTTCAATGCTAATTTGAAATAGTGATATCTTTTTAATGGTTGTATCAATGCAATTGTGTTCTAAATCAACAACAACAAAAATCATCAAGCCTTCAAATGCCATCAAGGCATCTTGCACTATATTTGGCTGTTGCATGGCAACTGAAATCCCCACAGATCACAAATTGGTATTGTTTCATGTGAACGATCCCATGTAAATGAGGACTTAAAAATGACTTCAGCATTCTACACAATTGTTTTTTTATATTGATCACGCCTCTGAGCTGTGTAATTATACATATTTTGCCTCCTCTCTATGACATCAGGCAATAATAATAAATCATGACTTAATACGGAATACCGTCTCTAAAGCGCTTTACAGATATTATTATTATTACCCCGGTCATCGGATTTGATCACACACAATGTGCACCATCTCCACTCCCTGGTGATTATTCTTACCATATGGTCACTGTGAGGGCATATGGCAATTTCTCTCACAAAGGCTTTCATCATCCTACCAGGTTCTCATTTTGGGTTGATATATTGCATGCTTGTGCAACAAATTTATGACTATCACATGACATCTTTTCAGCTAATAGCATACTCGCTTACAAAACCCAAATTCATATATTCTGATATCCCCTCAAGGTCATTCAAGTAAGAACACTAGTTAGGCAAATGAAAATTGAGACACACCTGTTGCTGGGATTCCTTTGTTTTAGATACAGCTACGAGTATAAGAGGCTGCCGTAATAAGAATACATACAGATGGTTACCAGCTCGAAATGACCTGCAAAAAAATATAAATAAATCATACGTTATACTTGTATGTGATATAAATGTAAAAGCACAATATACCATCTACAACATTCTCCATCATGTATGCTGACAGTCACTGAAGGCACATTGCATGTTCCATCAATAGCTATCTTAAAGGGAGTCACTTGTCAGTTTCCATGTGCAGAAGGCCATAATTCGCTGACACCAGAATTGGTGGATACAAATCATCAACGTGTGTACAGGTATTAGGTCTGCACACAGCGAAACCCGTAGGCCAATAAAAAAATACCCCCTCGTCTCTCGGAGATCTCCGGCTGACGGAAAAGTGAGATAATGACTTTACCATGTCGGGAATGGGTGGAAAACGCAGTACGTTACATACATGTAAGGCCTGCTGGTCATAAAACTGAAGGCTAATTCGGGTGATTGACAGCACCTCTTATTGGGTAAACACCCGAACGGTGTTGAATTCCCCATGAGAGCTAACTACTGAGTGTCTTTAACGAAAATCAAGCTTTTATTTTTTATTGTCACAATAGACCATTTCCGTAATGTAATTTAAATTTAATGCGCAAATCTTTGATAAGTGTCATGTTACAACTTAGTTCATTCACCTGTTAGGAATAATTGTATTTAAATAGTGAGAATGCTAATTGCATACATTCATTGTTATTGTTAGGTAGGACAAACATCATGGCTTGTCCTGCCTAACAACAAAGTGATCATAAATTTCAATATGCGTTGCCCATTTAGAGACTTCAATAATTGTTTTTTTCTATTAAATCGCTCTTATTCGTGAAATCATGAACTCATGTATCTATTGACTTTTGCACTTTCTGCTCATACATTCTGGATTAACCCCTTGCTTCCTGGAACCTGACAGTCCCTGTGTTTAGCCAATGGGAATGAGATAATTCAGTAGTAAATGGGTTAAGAGATAAGAATAAAAAGTCACTAAAATGTGAATCTAAATTGTTATGGGTTAATGGAATATAATATGATACTTAGTGAAACCTGTCTACAAAGTCCACCCAAGGGAGACAAGAAAAGTAGTCTTAACAGGCAGGTGGTCTTCATGTACAGGTTCCTTTAGTACATGTTTCAATGAGAAAACGTTATCAAGGGAAACAAAAAATTGGATCTTTGAAGACAGGTGGTCTTTCTATACAGGTGGTCACTAAAGCAGGTTTAACTGACTGTATTGTGTACATACCTTAGTGTGTTCTTCTCAATCCCTACAAGAGATACCAACGTAAGCATCACACCCATTAGAGGATTCAATTTGTCTTCTTTCCCGTATCTAAGCAAGGAAAGAAAGAAAAGCATGGTAAGCAAATATTAATAGACTACAAGGGTAATGGTACACACTATCATCGCCGAGATCACCGAGGCGATGATAGTTTGTATCCATTGCCCGAGTAAAGGAGGTTAATATTTGTTTTATATCCCACATCGGCAATAAGGTCTTTTTAAAGTGAATTTTACATAATTAAAAGAACTGATTCTGCAGACAGTTTAGCTTCAGCTAGATTTTAGAAAGCACAACATGCATACATGTAATAAAGGCGATGCGTGCTGATTTGACATTTACATTGACATTTCGCGTAACCTACTTTGCTATGCGCTACATGTATATGCTTATTCAGTGGGCAAGTGGGGCAGCAGCAAAAATTACTTTACAAAAGTCCTATCGCAGGGAGATAGTACTTATCTATCATTGATCATCTGACCTCGTTTAGACCAATCAGTTGCAAGACTCTTAGTATGCTGGATATAAAAGCTAATAACATTGATACATGTATTTACAAAACGTTAGAAACTTGAAACTTGAAATAATAGATTTACACATAAGGAACGTGATCTACTATCAAACATTAGATTTGATTGTAGAGAGTAGAGTGTGTACGTAACCACATTTCTCTATTGATCTTTCAGATTCCAATTGTGTCCAACATACCTACCAAAATTGAGACCCGGCTGAAAATATGGACCGATTGAACATATTTAATAATGATGTGTATAATATTTGAAACATATATCAGTATTAATGTCTTTTTTCTTTCATTTCTGTTTTTCTGCTTGATACACTGTCATGAGAGGTTTAGGCACATGCAATAGAAATTATGCAATAATAATATAAATTACGGTACAATTATAATCACTATTATCATTAATATTATTAATATTATCATAAGTAGTAGAAGTAGTAGTAGTAGTAGAAGTAGTAGTAGTAGAAGAAGTAGCAGTAGTAGAAGTAGTAGTAGTAGTAGTAGTAGAAGTAGTAGTAGTAGAAGTAGTAGTAGTAGTAGTTATTGTAGCAGTAATAGAAGTAGTAGTAGTATGCTTATTATTATTACTGTTATCATCATTATTATTATTATCTTTACTATTATTGTGTTTATCACTATTTTTATTATCATTTTCTAGTTGAATGATAAGACATTCATCATGTACTCACCTTGAATAGATAGGCTTGCCGGCATCACTGAACACAAACACATGTTTCTTCTGTTGTTTCCATTCGGTGCTGTAAATATCTAAAATACAAATTAAGAGCATTTTCACTTTCTTTCTTTCTACAACTTAGAGAACAGGGAAGCAATCTTCAATCACAATTATTATAACAACCATTTTTCCATGATTTCTGTTTATTATTATTATTATTATTATTATTTATTCGACCATAAAAACACATTCAGCATGTACAGTGTATATAGGTGTATACAGAGTGAAATAGGAAAAATACAAAGTAAGATAAAGAAGGAATAGCATGTGGGTCAGGGTGCACAAAAGCGAAATTCTTCCCTGTTGCCCGGGGGCATGTGCACCCTCACATGCCATATTATATTATGGCTCTGTGCAAATTTATATCTTGCATCAAAAATTTGTTGGCTTTTGATTGGTTGAGAGCTCGTCACATGACCAGAAATATTTGACCTATTTTTAGAAAGTACTATATGAGAGTACTATTTTGGTTTACTATTTGGGAGTTGAAAAAAAAATGTGAATTTTTTTTTTTGAATTGAATCAATTTTTTTTTCAAATCTTAATTTAATGAAAACAAAATATTCTAAATCTTTTTAGATAAAAATTGACATTTTTTTTGTTCTAAATTTTTTTTTCCCAAAAAAGTTTTTTTTTTTTTTTTCACAAATTTTTGATGCAGGATATAAAACAAATATACCATGCCTTCTATTCGAGGTACTGGTTAAACTATGGGCCTCGGTGACTCCAAAAGTACCATTTGCTTCGGGGCTGCGCCCCTCAGCAAATAGTACTATTGGAGTCACCTCTTGCGCATAGTTTTAACCAGAACCTCTCAAGGCAGTGTATATTTTTATACTATGTACATGTATATTATAATTATAATAATAGTAATAATGATAATAATAATGATATTGGATGTTTTTTATAGCACACATATCCACCCCGCAAGGTGCTCAAGTTGCTCAAATATCAGCCAGGCTCTGCTAAGCTACTGCTTTCGGTGCTCACAACATGACAAGGAATTCTTTCCTGACAGTATCCACTTATCACGTGGGTGAAGAATCTCTAATACCGAAGGACATTAGTGCTGCTCTGGGGTTTGAATCAGAGACCATCGTATCTCCAGTCAATTGTTTAAACCACTCGACCACGACTACTTCATATCTAGCTATCTATCTATCTTATCTAACTATTTCTCTCTCTCTCTCTCTCTCTCTCTCTCTATCTCTCTCTAATACTCTCTCACATCTATGTATCATGTTAGACTTCTGGTACTCACCTTCTACGACTTGATCTCTCTCTCTGTATGTTCTACTCTATCCACCCTACTCCCGGATCGTATTCTCATTTCTTCTTCCTCGGTCTCAGCAGGTGCCAAAGCCTCTGTTTCTTTCCATCTATCTTATCCATCTCTCTTTCTCTCTCTCTCCCTCTTCTCTCTCCTCTCTCTCATCTCTGTAGAATGCTGGACTACTCACCTTCTACGACTTGATCTCCCTCTGTATGTTCTACTCTATCCACCATACTCCCGGATCGTATTCTTATTTCTTCTTCCTCGGTCCCAGGAGGTGCTGAAGCCTCTTTTTCTATCCATCTCTCTTTCTCTCTCTCTTTCTCTCTCTCTCACTCTCTCCCTCTCCCTCTCTCTCCTCTCTCTCATCTCTGTAGAATGCTGGACTACTCACCTTCTACGACTTGATCCCTCTCTGTATGTTCTACTCTGTCCACCATACTCCCGGATCGTATTCTTATTTCTTCTTCCTCGGTCCCAGCAGGTGCCGAAGCCTCTTTTTCTCTGTTCAAGTCATTCTCCTGCACTCTCTCCTCAGCACCTTGGCTCAATGAGAGTTCATTGACCTCTGATATGAGTTCATTGACCCTGTCAACATTATCGGCACCATCTCCCTGCTACAAACAAATTTAAATTACATGTATATATGTTAGTCTTCATGGTCATACACACATTCTGTTTTTAAAGATCTTCGTTCTTCATAGATGGCCACATTCATAAACTTGGTCAAACACATGACACTGTATACCGGACTGTGAATAATATATCGTTTGAAAACCATAAGTTTGTAGTTTTACATTATTTCCTTTTGAAACTCACACAGAGTTCAGGGGATACTTATATTCCAATGTACCTCTGAAACTTCATTGAGGATGGTTAAGTGCTATTTAAGATATTGTCAATCAATTTGCATAATCAACAAATTCATGATGGCAAAATTTGATTCATAGTGGCTTTTTCCAATTTATGAGAGCATGTTTGCGAAATGCGGAGGACAATCTCTATAAGATATCTCATTGGTGTCTTCTTCCAGCTTCTTAAATAGAGTATTTTTTGTACTTTGTGCATTGCTTGTGTGCAGGGTGAGGCTGCAAAACTGTCTTTCAAATTAAAGGTGCAAGAAAGAATTTCCCTTGCGTACTGTCTACTCTGGCCTTAGTGTGAATCCCTCTAGCTCCCTTTTGACCTACGTAAGGGTGGGGGGGGGGGGGGCTGCTCTAGTATATATGCCAGAAGTATGTGTCACGGGCTGATGACACTAGGGAAGAAGGTAGTCTGCAAGCACAGACCCTAATTTGACACTTTATCAACAAATCATTGTGCCTTGAGAGAAGCCTAACCCAGCTACCTACTGGTTGTGTCAGGAGCAGCTATAGTACATGGCCTACATGTATGGTAGTCTTATAGTGCAGACTCTCTTTTACGACTGACCAGGGTTTGTGCCAGCAAACTAGGAAGAATGAGCAGTTACTTACTGGTATGTCTTCAAACACTTCAGGTTGGAGGTCTACTAGCTTTCCTACCGGTACTTCTGTTCTGGGATCATCATTCTCTACTATCTCAGCTATAGTACCGCTCTTCAGCCGTCTTCTCACTTGGTTCTCATCCACACTCAGATCGTAATCCAGTTCTTCATAGGAATCCCCTGCAACCAGCATTGAATGTTGACTGCAAGAAAAAGACAAGACCAATACATGTATGTGATTCTTTGTTTTAATCCTTCCAGAGTAACTTCCAGAGTTGTCGGTCAGGAGTGATTTTTCGGCCGATATACTGTATCATCCTACAATGTATGTAATGCAAAATCATCTTAAAAACATTGCAAAACAGGGAAAAAATATATGGGGGCTCGGGGCAAATTTATTTGTGTGTGTGATATGCCCTATTTCAGTATCTTTTGTACTAGTCATTTTAGAGCATTTTCAGGATGTTCTGGAAGTTTGAGTTGACTTGAGTTGGGCAGAATCTTAAAGGTAAAGACCAGTATTGGAAACGCCCCAATTTCAAAAAATGAAATGGAAGCTCTTATTACCAATCATGTGAAAGAATATGTTTTGACTAATACATGATGATACAACTTTTGCCGAGAAACCGCCTACTAATTGATATATTTGGTAAATTAGTTTATCTATTGGACTGTGAGAGCCTAATTAACGCACGTGTCACGCACGTGTGTGCGTAGTCCCATATACATCTTTCTGTGTACAGTGCTTGTAACTTTACGAAGACTGGGCTAAATTTCTTATCATTTTGATGATTCCAGAACCTTGCAGTAGATCTACACATTATGCTAGATGATCAACCTTCCCTGATCGATTCCACAACGTTTCTTTCACAATGCAATTGCATGACCAGAACTAGAGGTTCGGTAACTGAAAATCCGCACAGCGTCGATGGAAAAAAAGTCCTCAAAAATGCAGACGATCCATATTTTTTAGGACGCATTTTGTCTGTGTTTATGAGGACGATCCTCATTCTCGGACCAGCGCTGACGAAAAATCACCCTTTTTCCCTATCAAAGACTTTTTAAATTTTTAATTTGGACATGGTTGGACGGCTGCCCAGCGGAGTCGAAAACATTGTGAGTCAAAAATGTAATTACTTCCTCTTTACATTTCGTAGAATTGTGACCCAAACGCGGTGTTTGAATCATTTTCATTTGCGACCTCTAGAGCTCCCTGGAGATAGGCTACGCAATACCCTACTCACGGGACTACACCCAGCTGCTTGAAGTTGAACAGATCGAAAAGGAAACTCAACATAAAATCAATCTACCACACACACCAACAATAATTTAAGACATCTTCCTCATAATTATAGTACCTTGCACCTGGTTCCTCTCCTTGTAAAACGACTGTTTCCTCCCCGTCTGCAGACGCTGCCTTGGCCATTTTTTCTACTTTCACAATGAAGTTAACGACTAGTACTTACGCGTAGGTAGCTATGGTGTAGTCGAGAAAGCCAAACATTCAGCAAAATCGGATTTGAAAAAATATTGTCAAAGAAAAAATATCCAGAGAAGCCAGCGATTTTCGCTACTAGTATTCCTCGGCCAAAAACATATTCACTAGCGTATAAACAAGGGATATAATTAGAGTAGTTTTCAATCTAATTTTTTCTTCTAGGTTGCAACGTGACCTCACTATCAAGGGAGATATTATGAAGCCAGAAAAATGGAGAAGTCCAGTTCAGTTCATCAGTTCGTCTTTATTTTCACTCTCAATAAAACAAACATACATGTACTAGTCTATAATATAACAAACAATAAAAAACAAAGCATCATGAATTGAAAACAGTACAGAGCAATAATATAAGACAAAAACAAATTATGAGAAAGAGGGGTCAACAACATAAAGCATATGGCTTCATAGTACGTTGACCCCAGAATTAACAATACAGACATAATAATCAACAAACTCGCGTTGTCAGTAGTCGTATTTTTTATTTACTTATTTCGTTTTTATTTCAACAGGATAGCCCCATCAGTAGTTAAGATACCGTTATACTAATAATTGGGGGCCCTGCATTACATAAAAATACGTGATTATAAAGACATACATATACATGAAGCCATCACTAGGCCTATATGGTGAATAGTAAACAAGATATATCAGAAAGAATGCAAATACAATTTTGAATGTAAATGTAAAGTCAGCACGGTAAAAAAAAATCAAGAAAATCATTTTTTGTTTATTTGAAAATAAATCCTTGTATTCACAGAGTGTTTAAACATAAGAATACATTTTGTAGTATGTAGAATAAGTTTGAGAAATACAGTAATCTGTAAATGGTAAGTACTTTCTATTCAAGTTTGTGACAGACTCCCTATCAGTTGCGTGTACTATGTTTTGGGTTTTATTTAAATTTTTCTCAAATAACTTGTGTAAAAGGACTGCTTGGTTTGGGCATTACGTACTTCATTAGTTAAGAGAGGTTGTTCCAGATAATTGCACCTTCAAAAGAAAAGGCCCTTCTACTATTTCAGTTTAAACTTTTTGGATGAATATACTCCACGAATATCAGAGATATCTATTGCTATAACGATGTGTTGCTGCAGACTGAGTAAACATATCTTGAAGATATGAGGGGGAATTCCCGTTCACAATAATATATCAAACATAAGTTTAAATTTCTGAAATTGCCGACGTTTTTCTATATTCATCCATTTCAGTTATGAGAATATTTCTAAACTTAGGGTAAATACATTGAATTGGAAAACAATCCGAGCCATACAAAGTGTTGGGGTCATCATGAATTTGGTTCAAATGAACATATTGCAAGCATATGCGATCCTACAATATTCAATGATCGTTGTCGCGGTTGAAATCGACTTAGGTTATGAAATTGTAAATAGTAAACTCTTTAATATGTTGTACAGCTCCCTCTCAAGTTCTAGACATTAATTAAGCTATAAAACCATGTCTTTGACTAAAATCGACCGATTAGCTATTCCCGTTTTCATTTTTAGTTTTAAAAAGGTAAAATTTACGTTTTTCACCTGTTTACCAGGCCCCCCTAAAAGCTATGTCATTGTAAGAGTTTAAAGTTTAAGTTTGTCTTCAGGGGCGGATCTAGCATTTTGCTAAGTGTGTGTGTGGGGGGGGGGGGGGCTGATCCAGTGGCGGATCCAGGATGAAAATCACGCCGACTAATATTTCGCTCATTGGAGGGGGGGGGGGGGGGGGGGGAGGGGGAGGGGGATAGTGATTACCACATTTAAAATAACAAAACAAAAATAATTTGCCCCCAACATTTTTGTGTTATTGTTTTTTGGGACCAGCACAAGGGGGAGGGATGTTTAAACACCCCACCCCAGGGGCGTAAATCCCGGGGGGATGGGGGGGGGGGCTGCATCCCCCCTGGCTTGAAGTAGGGGGGATGGCCTGTACAATCACCCCCCCCCCCCCCTGAGATTACAAGAGAGAAAAAAAAGGAAGAAGAAGAAGAAGAAAAAAGGTGATGGTTTTACTTTCAGCATAATGCATGAGAAATGCATGTATGTATAACTGTATATCCTACACGTATACAGTATGTCACGATCATTAAGAGTAGTTGCGCGCCGTGCGCGAACAAGCACTTCATAACTTCAGAATAATTTTTCGTTATTTTGCAAGGTATGATTATAGCCTTGACGTAAAGTGCGCCAGCGCGCGAGCACTTAAAAAGTGCAATCATGTACAGTAGATGCCCGGCTCCCCCCCCCCCCCCCCCACTCAGTGTTATTTAGGGTACGAGTATGCTCGTTCCCTCCCTTTGAAAACATCCCCCCACCCCTATCTCAGGACTGCCAACATTTCTGAATCCCCCTTTCGCCGGCTTTTCGCTGGCTTTTCCTGCCTTTGTTGTGTTCTCATTCTCTATGCATGGATCGCCTTGTTCTGCTCTAGCAACAGGCACTTTCTCTTCTCTCATTGGTTCTATTCGCCTCTCACTATCTAACCTTATCTATCTTGATTGGTTTCTCTTCTCACGTGACTTTCTCCTGATTGGTTAAGTTTGTAATGATGCCTGATTTGTACATTGGCACATACACTGTTCTCATAAAGTCATCAAAAAAACTTCTGTGTGCCCATGCCTTGAGCCATAATGCATGGCCCTACAGAGGATTTTTTTATGTTGGGGACCGGGGTAAAATGCAATGAATTATTGATAATTTATTGCTTTTTCTTTGGGTTTTTTTATTTGTGGGAACTGCCCCCTACCCTAGCCCCCGCTGCGTATAGTCATGGTTCAGTGGCAAAGCAACGGCCTCGTAACTGTGAGGCCCTAGGATCAAAACCGTGCTATATTAGTGCCCTTTTGTGGGGCATTAATCCCCATTACTGTCATTTATGACTTAAGGGCGTAGGTCCCCTAGTTGATAAACATAGTAGCAAACACATGCTTTAGCAGTCATGCCAATCAAACACTGGCAAATTATTATTCAATAAAATCTGCGAATGTATATTAATATCTAGATCTATTAGGAATAAATCATTGTCAAAATAATTCAATAAATTGGGGTATACAATTTATACCAACTTTATGAGCAACAGTGTATTATAATTTGGAGATTAAATTACTTCTGTTCCATCCTTCTTCGTGTGAGCGTTTCATTTTCTTTTGAGTTACCGTATTTAAGGAGATCGTGTTTAGCGATTGATTTTATTCAGCTTTCTGTGTGCCGGTTAAATAAACACGTTAAATCATTATAAAAAAATAGCGATGAAGGCATATATGCCTTTCGTTTTTAAAAGATGTTTTCGGCAAAATGTACTTCAAAGAAAACTGATGGCCCTCCCGGAATATCATACTAAACTGCCCCTGCTTATAGTTAAAATGGGCCACCTAAGCTGTTGTGCAATTCCCAGTCATCACACAACAGACGCCCCTATTAAACATAATTATAAAGGAATCCATCTGTTTGTGTGTGTTTTTTGTTTCTTTGTTTCAACCCCCCCCCCCCCCATTCTAAGCGATATTTGACGGTCGTCCCTCCTGCGACAAACATATTCCTTCCAAGTGAAACAAAGTCCATCCCGCGATTAGATTCGGAGATAGAATTCGCACTCTGTCAAGCAATTTCTCGTCTTTATCAGATAAGAATATCATTTACGTATACATTTATCAGTTAACAGTTTAGATCAGAGACTTTAAAAACTACCTATTTGTGAAGTGCCCCCACAGTTTTGAATTCGCACTCTGTGAAGCAATTTCTCGTCTTTATCAGATAAGAATTTCATTTACGTATACATTTATCAGATAAGAGTTTAGATCAGAGACTTTAAAAACTACCTACTTGTGAAGTGCCCCCCCCCCCCCCCCACAGTTTTTAATAGGCATTTCAGAACAATTCTTTTATCTGAAACGTTCAATTGGTATAGGAAACCCACATGAACTATAAAATGAACTACGGTTATCGTTGCGACCCACAAAAAGAGACCCCCGAAAGTTGCTCCCGACGGGCACAAAATACCCTGCGTATTATACAGTCAAGGGGACTGCTTTAAATGGTTCCCTGAGCTAACGGGAGCGAAGTCAATCTCCATTTTGGTATTATAACAAAATAATAGGATCGTGGGTGTGGGGGAATGTCAAATGGAACATTTACTATGTGCTCCTATTACCTCAGAAAATAGTTTGAAACAGTCATCTTGACTGTAGTAAGTATAAAGAGAATCATTTTGGCGCTTTTGGAGCAACTTCCAGCCCCCTGTGATCTTTATTTACCTATTTCATTTTATTGTTTACAGTGGGATTTTTGCAACAGGCGGTAATTTGTCATCCTTTCAGGTAAAGATTAGGTGGGAAGGTAATTTTATTAAACTTAAAAGTGTTAAATCTTATGTAGGGACATGCAGATTCCTGGCCTATATAGCCTAAAGGAAGGAGGGGCATGTCCAATCTTCCTCCAAATTTTGATCGAGGTAACCCCATCATCATCATCATCATCATCATCATCATCATCATCATGACTACTACTACTACTACTACTACTACTACTACTAGTAGCAGGGGCGCAATGAGCAAAAACCTTTTTTTGGGGGGGGGCAGAAAAAATCACCATCACGAGTCTTCCACAATAGGAAGGGGGCACCATCAAAAATGGGCACCTACAAAGGGAAACATCAACGACACCTACACCATTTTTTGACATTGGTATAAATATATACCCCTACATCGTCATGATAGTGATTACATTATACCAGGGATGATATCAATATTTGTTTCTTTCTTTACGTGGTACAAGACATTGCTTTATTAAGCAACTTACCTTGCGGTAGGCTGTGATGATCTGAATATTAATTTTTGAGCGAACGGCGTGAGCTAATACAATTTTAAAGATTTGTGAGGTCCTAGTGCGACAAATTATATGTTATAAAGAAGACCCCCCCCCCCAAAAAAAAAAAACAACAACAACAAACAAACAAACAAACAAAACAAACAAAAAA